TAATCTAATGTTATATTATTTTATAAAGCATGAACTTTAACAATTTTATAAAGTTTTGTTTGAGTGCATCATTTTTAAAAAGAGCATTGAAAATTTTTACTTCAAATATGAAAGCATTATTCTTTGACTGTCTCTTTAAACAATAGATGGTTTCATTTATTCTCAATATATCTTGAAATATGGACTTTATAATTATTGGGAATGTTTGACTAATCTAACAATATTGCCCTTTACTAGCGGACATACATCAGGACAGCGTAGTTACAGTTCTAGGTACGATATTCTCTATTAAACTATTTTATAGGAAGCACCTAGTGTTTTTATTGTATAGTTGTTGTAATTAATATTCTAGTATCAATGTTTGGTGTGGAATAGTTGTGTGTATCTATCTTCTGCTATCTTAAGTCTTAATCTCTTTTATTTTCTACTTTTAACTCGCTTTTTTTTATATGTGATTTTTGGAAAATGTCATGTTCATAAACCATATTGTACTATATAACAACTTCATATATTTGATTATTGTTGGCATAGGAAATGAGCTAGAAAAACCTATATAGTGGTAGAAGGTTTCTATGATAACAATGCCAGAAAATTTGCAGTAACCGATTTGCTTGATTCACAAATTTTTTGCATTAAGGAACTTTAGTACATGTTTCTCCGTGGCAGATAAAGAAATTTAGTACCATGTACAATATAATTTGAATCTTTAGGATCTGTAATGAATTATTAGTATATTTAAAATTTTCAAATAGAATTCTGCAAAAGAAATGAAGTCTTACAGAATGTTATATTTATATGTTATGTTTATGTTTAGCGCCGTTATCATGAGAATATTTTCTTGTGAGGTAGACAGAGCTGATGCCAGTTTCAAAACCTAATTTTTATAATATTCTATAATGCAAGTTATCATGTATTAAATATTGAAATTAAGCTTGGCTTCCATTTCAGATATAATTATTTGTTTGCATCTTCTTGGCATTCTCTCTATGAGAATAATTGTAATATGTAGAATGATATATGTGTATTTTTCTCTATTAGACTTGGTAAAAAGAAGGAGTTTGGGTTTTCTAATCTTGGAACTAAATTAAAAGGAGTTTTTAAATCATCTTCAGGTATAATGTTTAAAAATTGTCAAAATATTTCCTATGTTAGCTAAGAAAACTTGATATCAGTTGTCTGTATCACTTTCCATATTGAAATCTGACATCTTATTATCCTGCAATTCAACAAAAACTTGCTATAGAAGTTTCAACAATCATCACTTCCAGGATTGTAGTGAGAATCTTTGCTAAGGTCATGGAAAAGATGACAAGTCCAAAGTTTTGACTCTAAACTTTCACTAAAGATTTGTGTTGAAGTGCTGATGAATTTGAAGGGCTATTTGTAGAAATGAACCCCCATATTGTAAATTAAGTGTTTGAAATAGAAATTATAATCAGAAACATGTCTGAATGAACTTTACAAATAATGATAGGAACGATTTATATTTTGTACAATGATCAATGTATATAATAGATGATTGTAATAACTGTATATCTGTAATGAAAGTGATTTTTTTTTTAAATAAAGGTGATGATAAACCAAGTTTATATAATATGGCAGTAGGTGGTGAAATAGATATTACTACACCACCAGTAACTGTAAGTTAGTTTATTTATTATAACAAATACTAATGATTGTAAGTCACCTATTCTTAATTTGACTCTGACTAAATCAAGAGTTCACTGCCTCTCTTTTCTAAACTCATGTAAATTATGTAAGAACCTTACTGAAATAAAGTCCTCCATGTTATTTTTGAGTATTCATTGCTCTTGCATGGCACTTAATACAATTAATAACATACTCTGTTGCAATCAACATCCAATTTTGATCCAACAAGGCTGTCAGTGCGCCAGCATCTATTGCATATATGACAGCTGTTGAAATTATTGACTTCATAAGTCTAATCAATTCAGTACAAAACATTGATTCTATGAATTTTAAATACAGTAGTTGAGAAATAGAGTCTTGATTGACCTATTAAATTTTGCAAGAAGATGTGGTGCTTTATTAAAAACTAGATGTCACAAAGAATCAATATAACTATAAGTAGCTAATGACAAGCTAAATGTTTTATATTGATATTACAGCCAAAAATGAAAGCAAGACATATAGATATAGATCGTACTGATGAGGAAAATGGTGGTAAACCTAAACACGATTTATCAACATGGAGAGTAACTATACCAATGATTGGTGCTAGACCAGATCCTGAGAATATGAAAAAACAGTATTTTGTATTTATTATTGATGTTGCCAGAGTAGATATTCCTGATGGTTAGTCTAATAGTTTTACTAGTACTGATTATTAGATTCTAGTGTTGACTCAGTGAGACTTTTTCTGTAATGTTGTGATAATACCTATTGTGTTCCTTCTATGGTACATCTATCTATGGTAATTAACAAAGTATCCTATAAAATGTTAAATATCCCTTTATCTTCATTGCTGGTTTTTATTAGTCTTTACTTTATTTCACTTATTCATTCTAACCATCTTTCTGTTACAGGTGAAGGTGAGAGAACTAATTGGACAGTAGCAAGGTAGCTAGACATTTTTTTTGTCTTACAAAACCCGCTTGCAAGCTAATCTGAAGGTTCAATCTCAGAATAGGTCAAGATTCTCTGACATGACATAAGTGTTTAGTCGTTTGGATGTGGCAATGAATGAATTTTGTGCCAATAGCCATGTCACCCCCCATGTATATAGCTTTTGTGATTTTGAAAAATATTGCACTTATTAAATAAATATTGATAATGATGTTTGTTTTCTATTACAGAAAATATGGAGAATTTTATGTGTTAGAGCAGAAGTTAACAGAATTTCATGGTAATGGTTTTCATTTAACTATTTACTTTACTTAAATCTTATAGCATCAATTTCTCATTTCTTTCATAACTGAAAATTATCTGTATTTTGTAGGTGAATTTCCTGATTGTCAACTTCCACCCAAAAAATCATTTGGAACTAAAAATAAAGATTTTATTGAAGGGAAAAAGGAGGTATTTGAACAATACCTACAGAAATTATTAACTAAACCATTATTGAAGGGCAGTGAACTTGTGTATAGTTTTTTAACCTCTTTATCAGAATTTAACTCCAGTTTCCTTCAAGATATCAATATAGGTATGTAAACATTAAGTCTTATCACTTTAGATTATTGTATTCAAATATCATGAAGACAAAAAACAACATAGCATAGTAAATCTATTATTTGGACATTATGAAATGCTGGTACTGTTCATATATAACATACAATAATTATGGGATAAAACACACTTCTTTAATACATGGGTTCATAATGTTTCAATACAAGATACACGTGTCGTCATTAGATGAAATGGTGAAAGGATGTTCAATTAGATTCAATTTCAAATCAGAAATGTGAAAAGTTAACATGCAGTCAAACGAAGATAGGTCTATATGAACTGAATTTGTCATCATCATATTTGATCTTCTACTAATTTTAGGTAGATTTGTCAAATCAGTACCGATGAAGCTAGTAAAAGAAGTAGGTAGAAATTCATGGTTTATTTTAGTAGTGATAATCTATTATTAATATATCTGTATAGCACTACAATTGATGTGTTGAACACTATTTTATCAGTGATAATAATTGTTATTGTATTATTGATATTGATATTTTATTATATGTTACAAGTAATTCGTATTTTTTTTACAGAAAGGTCAACATTTGGATCCATTTTTATCAGCGTTTGCTGCCTCCACAGAAGCACCAAAACCAAAATCAATGTAAGATGTTTATTATATTATACTAATAATTTGTATAACAAGTAAATAATGTAAATATAAGAATGATTATATACTGTTTATCATCATTGTTTATTTATATTTCTAGAGGAACAGAAAGACGTGGATCTGACGCCTCTCAATTATCTACATCAAGTGAAAAGGTAATTATAAGTCATCTTATAACTGATTTAACTAGTTTATAAATGTCTAAGCATGAATGTATCTTGAAATATTAAGTGGATTATTACAACTTACAAGACTATAAAAAAACTAAAGGTCACCCAAGAATAGAAGTTTAAAGTTTATTGTGAATCATTCTAAAAAAGTATTATAGTATAGTTAAATCTGAGAATAGGTGAATTCAAAAGTAAGGCAACAAATCAACCAGCTGATGAAAAACTGTGATTGAGAATAAAATCCTATGATAATTGTTGTATTTATCTATAACCTGCAGTATCCTTGAAATTGTTCAGCAGTCATATCCAAAGAAAAATCTGTAAGTGACATATTGAGGCTTATATATTTTTTCTTTCTAGTTAACTACCTCCCTGTTTGAAAATAATAGTAATTGTGGTTTTAATCCTCCAAAATCAACCGAGTCCACACTGACAGAGACAAGACAAGTAGATGGAGTGTTTGATTCTCTAGTATATATAGGTATGTATTTAGATGTACTTGTTCAGATTTTCCATACATAGGTTGAGAATGGCTGATAATCATCTCCAACAGGAGAAAATTTATCAAAATCAAAAACTATGAAAAATAATTGAAACGGATATCATCTACAACACCAAGTGAAATTTGCAAATAAACATTATAAATGTGGACTCTCTATGGACAGCTGTGTCCAGATGGTAAACTAGTTGCAGACTTTCCCTATTTTTTATTACAGAATGTAGTCTATATCAGATTTCCAATAGTTTTTGAATACTTAATGTTGAACAATAACACACAATAATGCTCTGTTTAGTTATAACTGTTAAGTTATAATTTCTTAGAGAAGACTTATACATGAATTTGGATATTTTTTCAGCAACCTGTGTTTATTATGTGCCAAAATGGTTTATAAGTGTTCTAATGACATGTCGTATATTAATTAAAGAAACATTAGAGTCCTATGTTGAATGGTATTTAGATTATAAAATAACACAAGTTACTCAAGAACATAGGGTAGTTAGTATTATACATCTATTACAAGGTAAGAAACTAGATAGAAATTCAAATAAATAAAAATAAAGTTTTATTTTTCTTTAATTTGTGTTCTGTGAAAATTTGACCCAAAAACATCAAAAGTTTTATAATTTATGCTTGCCAATAAAAAAACACTATTTTAAGTGACATTACAAGACAATGTTTAATAATAAATATTCCTCTCATACACAGTATTGAAATTTTTTTTATTGATCAGAGCATTTGATTGGATGAATATTAAATGACCCAGAACAGGAAATGCATAACGATTTTATAAGATCATGGATGCTTAGTAGAGACAAGTGTCAAGATGATTTGTTTTTTGTGAAGAAAGTTTGTAGATCATGGTATAAATATACCAGTGTGATTTGATTTATTTTTTTCAGATGTTTTATTTTTTGATACAGATCCTCCTAGGTAATGTTAAATCCATAATAGTTTTTAAAAATACATCTACTTATTAATTCTGGGAGACCCACACCTACTGTAATAACGTGGAAGCAGCCATGATAATCAGCCTCCTCTTCAGCCCAGTGTCCCATATATAGCTCAGTTTGGTCATATATGGGACACTGGGCCGAAGAGGTTATACATCTGTACACTTGGAATCAAACATGAGCAGACAATGTTTAAATGATTTGGACCCTAAAACTTGTTCAATTCAAATTCAAAAGGTTCAATTCAAATTCAAAAGTTCTGAATCATCTGAATGTGAACATTTCATCAAGTTGGTAAGAATTTCAGTCAGGTTGGCTGAGACAAGTTATTTCAAGTTAAATCCATGGTTAAATATATGTAATAAAGAGGAGATAATGATATTATTGACAATGTTTATTTATAGGAGTGATGAAGAGAAGAAAAGTAGGTATAATGAAACAGTAGAGGGGTGTTTACAATATGTACCTAGTAAGTCAAACATTCTCAATATAAACATCTCTACTATTTACTTAATACACTCTTTAAATGCACTTTACAGGTTACACAATATGCAAGTTGTCTTAAAGGGAGTATCATTAAACTCATACTGCAAGTCTTTCCTAGCACATTCTATATGACCATTCAGGGTCTAACACAGCACAGAACTTGCTCTGCTTATTGTTTTCTCTCTCTTAGTTTCTGTTGTTCTTGTATCCTTAAAAGGTTTAATTTAGATCAATTATTGATGTAAACTAAGGCTATGTTTACACAGTTGTCTTATCATGCAATGTATTTAGACATATTTGGAACATCAGAGGTAGAGTGTATAAAAAATGAAGATTGATATTACAGCAAGAAATATGACTCAACTGCTGTTCATTATTATTTGAGATGATCTAAATGACAATGATTGCTGTATAATCAAATCCTAGCCTTATTTCATGATGAGTGGTATATGTAAACTTTGTATCTGCATAATTGAATTGATTTTTTTTCTTTATTTTATATAAAAAAAATGTGTCCATATTATAACCACAGAGAGCTAATTTGCCTTTTATTTCTTTCAGGATCATTTGTCTCTATGATTGGAGATGAAAAATTTGAAAAAAGGACCAAATTTATACTTGATATTTTACAGCAACCTAAACTCAATAAACAGGTACTTGTGATAAAAAATGTTCCCATTGTAACTTACAGGGATTGTATAAGTGGTTGTCCCAACTTTTTATGTGTATCAGGGATACTGATAGCATCGATTTGTACCATTCCAATTATCAGTCAGATGTCTGTTTTTGAAATTCCACTAGACATAGTTATCGCAAAGCACCAGATAATATTAGAAGCCTTTTCTGTAGAAGCTACAAGACATCTTTACAACCCCTTTGAAATGCATATCTATAAAGAGAAATTCTGAATTAATGACATTTCGAAATAAAGTGCATAATCATAAACATATAGTTCAAAAATTTCACAATAAAAAGTATTCTAATCTTTTATTTTTCAGTTATCCTATGTTTTACTAGATATTCTCATATCAGAACTGTTTCCAGAATTAAAATCATGAAAGTTGAAATTTGAGAGGTGTTTTAAAGGACCATGTCATCATTAATTATCAAATTTTAATACATGTCTTATTGTCTTAATGTCACAATCAATTAACTATTATGACATGAGAATTTATTTATCAAAATTTTAATTGGAGGGCTAATTGAAAAGTTTTGAACCTTGTGTACCTGACTGTGGATTACTTTTAAAAGTATATAGATTTTATATTGCTTCCAGCTAATAGAGCTCAGTTTCAGCTAACTTTTAGTTTTAATAGCACCTAGTAATAAAATAATATTAAAGATGACTATCCATTTCATTCATCTGGTACACCATTATCTGCACTAGGTCAAAAACCTTTCTATTACCCTCTCATAAATAATGCATTCAATCCAAACTGAAATTAAATACCATATCAAAGTGTAAGTGCAATCTTTTTTTTTTTAAAAGAAAGAAGGTATGAAGCATGTAAGACGAAATTAATTTATTGTTATAAATCTTTGTTGTTTATTTATTGAAATAAATTTGTTTATCATTGTTTACAGTATTTGTATTATTTATCTCCAAGCCCTATGTCTTGGTATTGTGAATTTGTCAATTAGATTTTTTTTTATCAAATATTGACTTTTCCTCATCAAGATTTTAGTGCAAGTTGCAGTAGGTCAATGTTTACCTAGTTGTTCTGATTTATTTATTAATTAATGGTATCATGGCCAGGGAAACTGGGTTATCCTTCCTTAAAAGAATGAGGATAGTCCAAACATTTAAATATAAAAATTTTTTAAATATAATTGCATATTGATAAAGAAATGATTAAGTGATGCTATTTTCGAAATGTTAAATCTGCAATGGAATTGATGTTTGGGCATATAGCCTAGAGAGTGACTACTCTTTAGAAATTGAGTTATTTAAGTGTGTTGACCTCAGTCTTCACCAATTTTATAAACAACATACAAAAGTAGGTGGAATTTGATGAAATCCACTATCTTTAGTCCTTTCAAAACAGAATATTTTCTTTCACTTATACCAACTCAATGTAACATTTAATAATCTGTAATTCCTCTTGATTTTAAAGGAAGTTTGTAATGATTGCTTTTATTCAATTCATAGAAATTTCCCATTTTTATTTTTCCACTTTAAATCATTGTGTAAGCCAACACTAATTTAATGAGCCAGGTGTATCAAGCTACATATATATTAGAATTAATTTAAGTACAAGTACCCAAAAAAAAACAACTGTACTTTGTATTGTTGTTGAGTATACACCTGTAGTTAAAGCAAGCTTTGTATTTAATGGTATAACAGTATAGTATTAGTTTCCTGCCTCTAAACATGCTTGACGGTCCTAAATAAAACATTGTTAAAATGTCAAATTGACAGGCTATGTTGACAAGTCAATAACAGATACTGTTAGCTTTAACCAAATCTTTCCACACTTGTATGACCATTGATTTCGTGGAAGTTTTCATCAAAATTCATGTTTACTTACATTTGTTTCATATTTTAACAAAACCAGAGCAGTTGTGTCAGCTTAGAGTGTTAAATCACAAGCTATAAGCAGTGGTATTAAATAACCTAACAGTATTCTTATTATGAAAATGGAACCAATATTGACTAATTTGATTTATCGGTGCAAAAGTTGTCACGAATTTTAGTGGAAATTCTACACTATATACTAGTCTAGTATGTAACAGAATTGTTCATATTAGATTGTACAAGGAACAAGGTAGCGTAATAGAGGTTAGAAAGAAAGAAAAACAAGGATAACACTCAAAGGTTCATAAGGATCCTCTCTACCAGCTGGTTTTAGCCAAACCTCTTGACATTGATCTTTCTTTGATAATCTCATTTAACTGGGTTAAATGGAAGTATTACAAAATATGACTTACTCAAGGTTTCCAAATTTGGAATGGGTATCTAAATACTTGGAGGAAAAGGAAATTTATGTTATCATCTAATCGCATAAATACAAACAAGAAAAAAAAATTATTTATTCTAGATGCATCTTAGTTTTATCTTATCTTTTATTTCTAACAACCCATATTTACAAAAACTGACAACCTGACAAAACCATGTCTAAACCCCATTTTTGACTAGGATACAAATATTGAACACCATATACAAATACTTAAAGATTCACAAATTTTACCCATACAATTAAGTGTTCAAGTTTTATACAATAGAATAGAAACAAACAACATGATCTTTTATTGACTTAATGGGTGATGGAAAAACTGTTCATTTTTTTCGCCAGGTGACATAATAAGTTGAATCATAACACAAGGTAGTTAGGTGCAGTAATTCTTCCAATTGTATCTATTTAATGACTTGTTTCTATACCCTATACCAGTATATAATATAACAGGTGTGTCAGGAAATTACATTATAAAAACTTTGTATTTTAATTAGGTAAATTTATGAAAAGTTATAAAAACAAAATAAGGTGAATGCATTTTATTACAAATTATTTTTTCTAGTTTACATTAAGTAAAGGCCATTTTTCTGGAGTTGATTTGAGTCTTGAACATATAAGTCTTTAGAAGTACTGCTAGGAATTTCACTTTCTATTTCTATATATGATATTTCTATATAGGACAATATTGACAAGCATCTCTTAAACTTTTCACGTGGATAATTCTAGACACCTATTATGGATTTCAAGGCTTAAATTTTTATGGTGAGCTGTAAACACTGTAACTGATTAGCTAAAGAATTCCCATTTCTGAGACTAAGGTATGATATTGGTCAAATGGAAGGCAAACCTGTTCCTTTCATTCCATATCTTTGATCATTTCCTTCAGTTGAATGATTATTATTATGGATGTAAATACAAAGAATTCTTATAAATTGTCTTTCTTTAAAATCAATCTTTAGGCAAAGTTAAGATAAATTCTAAATCACTTCTATTAGCCCTTGATCTGCAGGTTTAAACTTTTAAAGTTTAATCAGCTAGACATATCATATTTTATAACAATAATATCATTCTTAATATATAATAAAATAAATCATTCTTTATCATATTATTTACTACAGAATTCGTTAAATAATGATTTTTTCACTACAAACTTAATTTCAAGAAATAATCTATAAGGAAAGTCTGAAAAATATTAATGGTCATTCTTATACATTAAACTTGAACTTTTTTGTCAAGTCGAGGATAAAGAGAACATTCTTGAGAAATAATATTACAGTATATCCTCACTTTGAACTGAATTTATTTGAAATTCAACACCCATTCACCCACCCCTATAATAACAGTTACTGTCATAATACTGAGTGATAATAACCACGAGCGCCACCTAGTGTATATAAGTTAAAGGAAGAGTTATGTGTAGGAAATATAAAGGGAATTATTGGGATATATTGAGTTTGAATAATGTAATAACAGTTTGTAAACCTATACAATGTTATAGCAAGATAGATAATGTAATATTAGTGTATATTCAAGCTAGAAATATAACAGAAGTGAGTAGAGATAGCGAATAATGCTCGACAAATTTGGCATAAAACTCAGGAAGTTTGTAATATAACTGTAAAATGAAGAGGAAGTGAGATTTGAAAAGGTCCAGTTTGAAAGAAGAATGTTGTTGAGAGCCTAATACTTGTGGACTGTTTATTAATGGTTATGGTTGAACAAACACGTCACCTAGTTAAGTTTTTTGATGAGATAAATTGATTGATTATTTACTTCCTATCTTTAATTATAATAGCAGTAAATCATTACAAATCACAAGGTAGAGAGAACAGGGTAAGCCATCTTTTTATAAGTATGTACAGTAAAGAACTATAAGAATCAAATTTTAGGTATTCAAATTATGAATAATGATATTTTTTTTTAAGAATTTTTGTCTAACAAGGATATGTTCTATATGGCAAGTGACTTTATTTTGAATGTCATCATGAATAAAGATGTGATGAAAACAAAGCCTTTGTTCTATAAAAATCCAAATGACATGTTTATCATGTTGGTGACAAATTGTTGATGCTTGTATTATAGTTGTTGTAAGGGATGTTTCACTCATAATAACAGCTGGATTATAAGAGATAAACAGATAAGAAGTGTATTAATATACATATTTCCCTTTGATTTATCTTCATGGTTTTACATTAACATCATTATTTTAAGTTGGTAATATACTATTTGCTCTATATATATTTACTGCAGCTAATTTTTTGTAGTTCATAAATAAGTAGAGTTTTACTTTTTGTCAATCTATACAGGTTTCTGATGGGAACATTTAAGAATAAAACATATAGCCTATATTGTGGTTCTACTTGTTTTTCATTAACTAGGATGTCTTCTTTCTTGTCATTATTATTCATTGAATGTGACACTACTAGGATTAAACAATCATGTAGGCTAATATAGTCTTTAAGCTTTGGTTATACTTTTCTATGATTTTTAATAACATGGCATAGCACTTTTAATGATGATAAACTGACATGTATGTTTTATGAAAAGATTTTATATTTTTTTCAAAAAAAAGGTTAGATTACAGTTATCAGTTGATTTGAGATGAACCCAGACGTTTGATTTAGAATTACGTAAATTTTTATCAGTTTGATTTAAATCATATCTGGACAAGAAAATGTAGGCTTTGCTTGGTTTCAATTTATGAATATGGATGTGAATCTCGCAAGTAGAATATATCTCTACGGATTGAACGTGATACCTCTATATGAAAATCCTTTTTGATTTAGAGATATAAGCTTACATGAAAATATTCCACTATTTCAACACACCTTTGAAGAAAAGAGATAAAGGTTTTTGATTTTAATGGAAATGTCAAGATTAATTCTGTGTTTGAAGCAGAGTAGACTTGTTTCTGACATGCTTGATTTCAGACTATTGATGTCGCTAAGTAAAATTTTATTATTTATGTGGGCCACACAATTTTCACTTTTGAAAGTGAGTGCAGGCTACAGTTAACTTCATACAATCCATGACATGTTTCATCTTCACAATGCCAAGCTGTAATTAACTGTGACTTGACTGCAAGAGTCACCTTTATGTTTCACAGAAGTTAGTGAGCACATTGATTTGATTGGATTGTATTCCACCCAAAACAGCCAATGAGGAACCTCAACAGAAAATCAATTTGGCTGCACATGACCAATGTGATTTACTTTATTTGCTAGCTTACAATGCAATCAAATTGCTGCATTTTCAAACTGTGATACATAGTTGGTAATAGCTTAACATTGTAAAGATGGACATGGATGTGACAGCTGAGCCATGCTTACATCAACAAGATGGTAATACATGAAATAAATACCTGCAAGGTATCTTGATTTCCTATTGTCTTCCAAATGAAACACTTCTATGCATTGATAAAGTTATTTGAGCAAGGTATATAACATAATGATATAAGGAAATAAATTTTGACATCAGCATGACCAGGTGTACATGTTAAAGGGACAGATTCGCCATCCATTTGGACCAATGGAACCTTAGTCTCAGAGATGGGGAATTTTTTGGTTAAACTAATCAGTAATAGTGTTCACAGCACACCACCAAAATTTCAGCCTTCAAATCCATGTGTGTCCAGAATTATCTGTGCTTGAAAATACTTCTGAAGACTTAGTATATACATATATTCAAGACCCAATCAACCCCAAAAATGTCAAACCTGTCCCTTTAAATTAGATAATGACATGGATTGTGCATAAAGAAGTTGATAAGTTGAAGTATTGGAAGTATTTTTCTGTCAAAACTCTTAAACCTGTGAGATAAGATGAGTGTTTTTAAGGTCAATTTTATGATACCCACTGTCTTTCTATCATATAACAGTAATGGTTGAGTTACTATGATATTATAATCTGGTAAATAAATATTATGTTGAGATTCGAACCTAAGTTATTATCTTATATTTCTACATTATTGTGTTACCCTCTATATTACACATATAATATTTAGCTATATTATATTTCACAATAATATACCCTCATATTAGTATAAAACCTATTTTTATTAGTCAATAGTCATGACATCCATCATTTTACCCCTCACTAAAATATTACTAATCCAATCAGCTGATAATGACCCCCAAATATGAACTAGTCATAACTGATTGCAAAATAGTTTTATTACCTCAATGGAGATTACATTTTGATCATACTGAAAAATTTGTCATTGTTGACTGTAGGTCCTATCTAAGGTATGTTTATAGGAACATCTATGTTAAAAAATATAGATAGCAGTATTTGGAAACTTTCATTTACTCTTAAAGCAAATATCATGCTTAGTTTAATTCTATGATTTTGATGGACTGTTGGATTTGTTTGTAGCTTTTTGTGTGTAAAAAAAGGTTTCTTCACCTTGGACATTTGTGATAGTGTATGTTATTAAAGGACATCCAAGGTATAAAAAAAGAGTGCAAATTTGGCTAATGCTAATATAAAATATGCTAAAAAAGTTATATATATATTCAGAAATTTTCATAGTGTGAATTATTTAAGCAATTTGTGGACTTTTGCCAATAATTAGCCTAACTTGTTGTCAAAATAAAAGAGAAATACTGACAAGAAAGTAATAATACTGAATATCTGAATGTGATTGTATCAATTGTTGACCAATATTCTTAAATTTACATAGTACTATTATTAACTATGATTTCAATTTTAATGGTCCTAAATTATCTCAAAGTGTGTTACCCGTAGTTAAGCTCAATTCATTGATCTGTCAACTATAGTCAATATTAAGATGATCATGAACTATCCTAAAGTATTTAAGATATATTATATTCATGATTGTATCAACAATGATCAAGGTTGTAATGATTATTCATGTAAATCTGCTATTGTTATTTCACTTTTTACTCAGTTATTTTCTATTGTGTAATTTCAGAATAAATTATCAAAATGTTACAACAGATTTTAAAACAGATGTATATAGAACCTGACTTATTAAATGAATTATCTGAAGAACAAAAACAAATTTTATTTATCAAATTGAGAGAGGTAATTTTGTTATATTATTCTTAGTCCAGAATTTGAACTACTTAGCCTTTATAGCCTTTAGAATTTGTGAACTTCTCTAGCAGACTATCAAGGAACACAATTACAGACAAACAATTTGTATAGCTTTTACAACATTTTATTTCATACAGAGAATAAGAACTATTAACCAATTTTGACTTATAAAAAATAAAATAATAAATCTGTTAATGTCGATACACAATCCTTTCGAAATTTCAATGGTTAATACCAATCAATCAAATCTCAAATAGTTTTGAATTATCTGACAATAGGCTAGAGGTCTGTATAATACTGGCAATTTTTCAATGATTATTTGAAAGCCAAATTGTAGTATTATATAGTTTGATTTTTTATAACATATTCATGAAAAGCACAATCACTTGACTTGCCACAGGGTATATAATAGTCATTGACCAGCTTAGCAACTTTTAACCCTATTTTGAGGTAGCCTAACCTTTGTCATTTTTTTGATGTTATTCAAATTTCATGTAAGATGTTATTTGGATATGATCTATAGCCTTATAAATCAAAACAAATATAGCTTTGCTTCAAATATCCATTTAAAATGTAAGATATCCTCAAATGTGGCTTATATTATTTTTGAGCCCTGATTGTTCTTGATTTGCAATGAAAAATACAAGCCAACCGAAGAAAAGAAAATTCATCTTTAATCTGATTCAGATATGACAAATCATAGACCAGATAAGATTTACTTTTACTCAGAAGTGAAAACATCATAAAACACAAAAGTTGGCTGATTTTCAAATATTTGTCTATAATAGCTATCTGTAATGTTTGTTTGAGAGAAATCCTGCCAGGTACATGATTCCAGTATCGTACATATCGGTGCCATGACATCATGATGCTTTGATAATCTTGTTTACCTGTTATTCTATTAATATTAACAGGAACAAATACGAAGATGGAAAGAAGAAGATGAGAAACATGAAAAAGCTCAAGCCAAAAACAACATTAAGCCTAAAAAACCTCCTAAACCTGGTAATTAAACACAATTCTGATTTTTAGAAATTCACAAAACATAAAGATACTAGAGCCACTTGTGGCACAGAGTGGGACTTTGCAAATGTAGCAAATTGCAAAAGACCCCTAAAAAATCAACCTTCCACGATAATTAGATCATGTGCAAGAACAGTATAAAGTTGAGAAATTTTCATTTTTTAGAAGATTCTAATACCGGAAGTAGACGCCAGACCCCACAAATGAAAGTATCAGCAGATAGCCAAGGTCAATGACCTTTGATCTTGTAAAGGAGAAGGTCTAAAAAGGTCAAGATCAAGAGATATACGTCATCAAAATTTCTAATTGCACACGACAATAAAACCGGAAGTTGACATAGGACAGCAAATATAAAAGTATAAATAGATAGCCAATGCCAATGACGTTTGATGCTACAAAGGTCAAGGTCATCAAAGGTCAAGGCCAAAAATTGAAAATTTGGAATTTCCAAAACCTGTTCCTTTTTTTGAACTATGAAGCGGAAACACCCGAAATTCTAAGACAAAGTGGCTCACAATATGAGGTAATTGTATGCAAAGTTCCATTTTGGACAAACGTATACTTTGCGAGTTATGCTCCTGGCCAAAAATGTCAATAATGAGAAATATAACCCAGATGTGCCACGCCCACCTTAATTTTTTTTTTTGCATAGGGTAATTAATATTCCAAATTTTATGTTGTGTTTTAAATTTCAAGCTTCTACATTATTCAGGTCAAAAGATATAGGTCAACAAATGTCAACAAAGGTCAAAATTCGAAAAATGAAAATATCCAAATTTTAAAAATCGTTCCTTTTTTGGAACTATAAAGCTGAAACAACTGAGCTGTTAACACAAACTGGCCAAAAGGATGAGGTAATTGTGTGCAAAGTCCCTTTTTTAACAATCGTATCCTATGCGAGTTATGCCCCAGCCCCAAAATGTAAACAATTAGTAATTCAACCTGGATGCCACGCCCACCCCAATTTTTTTGTCATAGGTGAATTCATATTCAAAGTGTCTAGTTGTATTCCAAATATCAAGGTTCTACATAAAATAGGTCACAAGATATACATACACCAAGATCAAAAAGACACAAATATGGTAAAACAAAAATCACAAATTTCAATTTTGCTTCAAAAAAGCAATTGTTCTATATCTATGTAAAGTGCATGAAAAGCACATTAGGAAACCGAAAAAATTAACCCTCTAGGTTAATTAGGTCACGTGCTAGAGCAGTCCAAAGTTTCGAATTTGGCTTTTTACGGATAGCTATAAAACAGAAAGTACATGTCGGAGGTCAAAGGTCAAAGTATCAAATGATAGCCAAGGTCAATGTCCTTTGACCCTATGAAGGTCAAGGTCATCAAAGGTCAAGGTCACAAGAAATAAGCTTTCAAACTTTGAAAAAATTCAATCGGAAATTGCAAAAATGCAAAAGCGAAATTCAAAAATCGGCTCCCAATGTTTTGTAGACTTTCGACAGCAGATTACATCGACACCAAAATTACGCAGATTTAGTTTATTCCTAAGCACTTATTTCGATTTTAAGACAAGTTAGAAATCAAAATGGCGACCAAAGTATCACTTCCGGTTGGAATTTTATTTTAAAATCGGCCATAGATTTTTATTTTATATCGATCAACGAAATTCCGTTCACCGGAAGTTATTCGACAAATTCGATTTTGGACTTCAAGTGATTCAAACTTCGAAACCGGAAATGACGTAAAAAATCTGACTGAATCATATCATTTACTGAAGTGATGTCTATTTGCATTTTAAATTTTAGATCAGTTTTGAATTTCAAAATTTTTCAAGTGCTATCTAGTCGACATTAGCCACCGGATGTTAAAATTGAAAACCCCGGGAAAATCTACGCATAAATGCGCCTTCTAGAGCCAATTTTCGAGTTTTGCACATGTTGAACTGTAGCACTTCCAGTTGCGCAAAAATGTTTCAATTTATATTTATGCACAACATTGCCATTATCTAAGGTTCAAGAAAATTGAATGATTACTGCAGTCTAAGCTCAGGAAGGTGTGTAACAATCGAAAAAAAAAAAAAAAAAAACAAAAAAAGAATTGACAATATGATAACAAACTGGGACTTTGCGGTCCCACAAAAAAAAAAAAAAAAAGAATTGACATTTCGATAACAATTGCAGTAGCAAAGTCCCACAATTAGACTTCTTACATGATTACCCCAACACCGATACACAGTATCCTTTAACTTGTCCATGAAGAACACTGAAAAGATTTCTAGCCTATTCTAAAGAGTAGTGAATCATTAGATCATTAGATTTTTTATACGCCCACACATAAGATGGGCGTATATTGTAATCACCCCGTCGGTCCGTCTGTTCACATTTGGCTCGTGCTCACTCTACAGGCTACAGTTCTTTATGGATTCTTTTGATTTTTATTTTGTATGTCAATGTTGTTATGAAGATGATCCCTATTGATTTTCGCGATGATCGGATAATTTTTCACCGAAATATTGTGTCTGACTTGACGTTTTTCTCTATTAGCTATATTGTGCAACTCGTGCTCACTCTACAGGCTACAATTTTTTACAGATTCTTTTGATTTTTATTTTGTGTGTCAATGTCATTATGAAGATGATCCCTATTGATTTTCGTGATGATCGGATAATTTTTCTTTTTATAAAGAACAGAGGATTGTCTGGAAGCGAAGCTGAAACAATGTAGATGATCAGTTGGTAGAAGGTTAATGTCCCATAGTTCACTATATTTTCTGGAATATTTCCACTAGCATTGAAGTATAGAATAGACTATGAATTAACATTCACACCTACAAAATTTCAGGTAAACATCCCAAAACAGTTAAATTTTTAACGGCAAGGGATGGTAATGAATGGGTCTGGGTGATGGGAGAACATCAGGATGATTTAACTGTAGAACAAATGTTAGAGAACGAAGCACAATCTGAAGCAGCTTCAAAAGCTTCAAAAGAGGCAGAAGAATTACGGTAATTTTGGAAATGTTTTGTTAAATTCTGGTATTTTGTGATATTATAAACATGCATGATCTGCTTTATATTTCCCTTTATTACCATATGATATAGAATGACTCTTTTGGTTACATCACCTCCATCATTATTATGTTTGGTCAAGGAAATCATTTATATTTGTTCATAGATGTCTCCTTTAAACTTCAAATCAAATTATGTTTATCCCTTTTATGAATGCTTTTGAAGTCTGTTGAAACTTTAAATGGGTTTAATCACAAAATTACTTACTATTGTAGTACTTTTGTTCTTGAAAACTAAAATTTGGCACATCTTTGAACGATTCATAACATAAACCATGACAGTTTTTATATTTAATAGAATTTGTGTTACTTATAGCTTGAGCTAGCTGAAAATAAAGGAGACTGTCTGTGTTTATATGTTTTAAATCATAACCAGATGAGCATGTTAATATCTTTAATTTACAATACATGATTTAACACCTTTAAACTTTCCAACAAGATTCATTTCCTCTGGTTAGGATAAAAAATTGTTTTTTTTTTGTTATTGATTGTTGGGATAAGGTGGCATAAACCTTTTGAGTTGAGTTTGGGCTTAGATATCCATTAATTTGCATGTTAGATTGCTTCATACAAATGCTTGCATGTGTCCTACTGCATGGTTACAGGATAAAGGAAGAAGCAGGAATTAAAATACAGATTGAAAGAGAGAGAGAAGAATTAGAACGTTCAAAATTAGCATGGGAAGCAGAAATACGGTCAGTAGATTTTCTTTCAACTTTTGGAATGACATTCTAAAGTTTTTTAAAATTTTACCTTTATAGGTTTATCTATCTTTCCTGCATTGAATAAATCATTGAATTCATTCTGAATTTACATTAAAAGGGAGAGGTGTGGCATTTTGGTGGGTTGATTTTAGCCTTGAATATATGTAAATAGTCTTCAGAAGTACTAGAAATGTACGAAAATCACATAATTCCTTTAAAAATACTTCAAACTAGGAATTGTACTCACTATTTCTATATGTCTTTTCTATATATCACACAGTATCTTAAATTGACAAGTTGTCATTTTGTCTATTACTGATTGGCAAGCTAAAAAAATCCTAAAGTATGATTGATCCAATAATGGCGCATCTGTCCCTTTTAACATATATATATATATATTTGTAGCTAATATAATGATAGGCATATAAGTTTTTCATGTAATTTTGTATAATTTGTGCTATTAATGTGTTCACTTAAGATTGACATTGACATGCTTTCTTGATGCATATATTTTTGATAGGCAATATTTAATGCTTTATCTTAAATCTGAAACCTTCTGATGAAATATGAGACAAAAAACATCTTGACTTCAAAACAATTATTGTCTCTGTCTTGTTTTAACTTCCCTCATTGCACACTTCATGATGTTGTTAATTATATCTTTTCATGCTCAATTAAAATTAAATAAAGCAGAATGTCTCAGATTAGTGTAAAAAAAAATTATTTTAGAATTTTAGAAAAGGTTGATGAATCTATTTGTGGTCAAGTTATTAAGGTGATCAATATGTTAATAGTAACATTATAGTCAGTAAATATTCTATATTTCACACCTGTTGAAACGTATAATATGTTACTAATACTGCTATTATACTTTATAATGATTATTGAATACTTACTATCTTAATATGAAATCATTACAATATCTAATTCAGTGATTACCGGTATATACAATGAATAGGCCAAAAAAAAAAGTGTTAACAACCTAAGATGATGAACTGACAAACCAAATTGCAGAGTGGCATCACCAGCAACATCTGTCACAATACTTGTCATAATGAAGCTCGAATTTACTCAATATTTTGGAATTAGACGTGTGAGATTAAGCCAATAAAGTTAAGAATCTTGGCAACAGCATGGAATAACCAACTTTTGGATTTAATTTCTTTGCCAAAAACTAGAATTAGGCCCTAGACAACTGAACTATTTTATGAGTAATTTCCACTATGCTATGCTCATGTTTCAAAGGATATAGTTAAATTAATTGTTAATTGTCGTTTGATTAGCTCATTTGTTTCCTGTACCTCTCCAATAAAGGAGGTATTAGAGTTTCTGAAGGGAAGTTATGTTTTTTTGCACATTGATTTGGTCCTTAAATTTTTAATTACTAGATCTGCAGAAATATAACAAAACTTAACAAACATAAACACCTGATGAAACACCTTACATAAGTAAAGATAAGTTATATATGTTATATTTCAGTGAAAATATTCATGAAGGGTATAATTATTTTAATATATTCCCACTGGCATGTTGACAAGGATATAACCTTAGTAATAAAATCTTGTGCATGTTTAGAATGACAAGTTAAAGTTACTAACAGTTGACAGTGAACTAATCTTCCTATCACCATATTGGATAATTACACCACAGCAAGGTTTTATTTTTATACTGCACCTATTCTAAACAAGAATCTTTTTTCTACTTTCTCCCAGTTTCATAAAAACATCATATAAAAGTTTTATACAAAAGTAGTATGGTTCTTACATGGAAATAACATTCACAAAATAGTTCACAGCCATTTTGAATTATTACCTCAACAAAGTCAAATGGATTTAAAAAGGCTATAATATTTCAACAATGCCTAAATTTAGAGACATTTTGAAACCTTTAAAGTTGAAATATTATAGCTCTTTTCAAAATTTGACATATTAGATCGAGGTAGGATTCAGAATGACTTTGAATGACATGATGTTTCCATGTAAAAACCATATGTAGATGCGTATGATATAAGTCTTAATAACATGTAAATTTCCATTTATGCAATTTTATGAAATATCAGAACTGAATTAGATATTACCATATAATTGATTCAAATTTTCAAGCCATTGTTATCTATTGAAATGGAAATAAATACTTATATCTGCATGTATTGAATGCTATGGTGAAATGATTGACTTAAACCTTACATTATAAAGGTTCACAATTCGCTATATATATTGATGATATGAAAAGTATTTTCTAAGCACATTAAAGAATTTCCAAAATTTCAAATCTTTTTCTCTACTTTCTTGTGACTATTGATGCCAAATTAACTAAAATATCTAAATAACTAAAAATATTTATTAGACTTTGGATCACTCATTCAACAATTCTAGACAGTTTCTGTAAAACTGAATCAAAGCTCTGTTTGCTGTGCATTCTGGGATGAACCTCAGCATTTTACCAATGATTTGTCAAGTGATGGAAATCTTGCAACCTGAATATAATCAATAGCTTTAGAGCCTTTTGTGGATAATTCAGACCTTGATTGCTACATTGTGACTAGCGGTTCACAAAGTATGCATTTTATTATAATTTAGAATCTTACTAAGTTTTTGTTTTTATAACCATTTAAAAATCTGGACATAGTACTAGTATATAATGGCTACGATTGAATATCATAATTCTGTTGCAGAACTTTATTTTTAGACTGTCTGTAGATCACCATCCTGATTTCTACTAAACATTGATGATAAAAATTACATTTTAACTGAAGTTTGCCGTACTAGATCTTATCCATTTGTGTTTCATAAAGTTTGTTGCTTATTTCTAGAAATTTGTTTTGATTAATATTGTTTACATTATAAATATAGTATAAGGAAACTAACAAGATTATGATTTGATCTTTTAGGCGAAAGAAAGAAGAAGCTGATTTATATCAATCATTAAAGGACGCTCGATTAGAAGCTGAAAGATTAGAAAAAGAGAAAAGAGAAAAAGAGGAAGAAGAAGAAAAGAAATTAAAATTATTAAAAGTAAGTGTCCTTGATTTATTATTTATCTTCAAGTCACTGATTTTTTTTTTTGAGATCTTCAGCACTTTGGTAAATTTTGTATTTTCAAAATTATGTTAGATTTATAGAAAAAGTAAGTCTCGAAAATACTTTTGAATATGATATTTACAGAATGAAACCAACCAATGCTAAATGCTATATAATTACAAAAAAAAGCTTATTTGCTAAGAAAATTTTGGATCCAGATATTGTTGAGATTGAAACCTTAATGAATATACAGTTACTAATTGAGACACTGTTCAATTTTCATTACTCTTAAAACAGAGATTAGTCTTCTATTTTATTTATCTTTTAATTTTATTTATCTTTTGATTTTATTTATTATATAATTTTATTTATTTTATAAATTTTTTTATTTCATAATTTTATTTGTCTTATAAATTTATTTCTTTTATAATTTTATTTATCTTATAATTTATTTCTTTTATAATTTTATAATTTTATTTCTTTTATAATTTTATTTATTTTATAATTTCATTATTTTATTTATTTTATAATATTATTTATTTTATAATTTTATTTATCTTATAAATTAATTTGTCTTTTAATTTTATTTATTTTGTAATTTTATTTATTTTATAATTTTTATTTTACAATTTTATTTATGTTATGAATTTAATAAGGAAAACACCTGTGATTATACTTTCAGTTAAAACAAGAAAAGTCACGAAGAAAATCTGTTGAAAATGCTAATATGTTAAAAAATCGTCGAAGTACAGAAATTTATAGAAGATGGCAAGAAAACCGAGAGATATTTGAAAAGATTGCTATTGAAAATAGTAAGGAGATAGAAAAATCTTGGCAGGAACAAGGTTAGTAATTTTCTACATATAAATTTAGTGTGGTCTTTTCGATATTGAAAATGAAGTAATTTTGAGCAATCTGAATGAAATTGCTGTGCATCTACTGTTCTATGTTACTAAATATTCTTCCTTATGAACTACAATTTTAAATAGTTCTATGAAATCACTAAATGCATTCTGTGAAATGTTTTTATATTATTTTGTATACCATTTTGCAGAGAAGAAGGCAAAAGAAGCTGAACACAAAAGAAAAGAAATAGCTAGAAATGCTAGAGAAGAAATTAAAGGAACATTAACTAGAGGAAGTAAAGTAATACAAGCCACTAATGCTTTTAAATCATCAGCACGTCTTCCACCAGAACAAAAACCTCCTATTCCTCCAAAGTATGTTTTATGTAATAGTTAGATCATATTAAGTAAAATTTTCATGGTTAAGAAAAAATCTTTTTTTTGGGGGGGGGAAAAGTTTGATATCATTGAGTGATGTAGAAATCTGAGTTTTCCTATTGGTTGTGTCTGACAAAAACATCCTGGATTATTTATCATATTAATGTGAGAAGATGTGATGGAAATGTGGACGTATATTGCCATCGCCCCTGTCCGTTGGTCTGTTGATCAATCAACATTTCTTGTGAACACAATAGAGTCAGTCTTTATCTGATTTTTATATGCCCACATGAATATGTGGTCGTATATTGTCGTCGCCCCTGTCCGTCGGTCCGTCCGTCAACATTTCTTGTGAGCACTATAGAGACTACAGTTTTTATCTGATTTTTTGATAAAACTTGGTGTGATGCTTTAGATTGATAAGATCTTGGTCAAGTTCGAATTTGACATATTTTCGATGAACGGTTTTTGAGATATTGCCCTTGACTTAGAAATTTGTTAAAAATTGTTGGTGAGCAGGATTGAAGCTACAGTTTTCAACCAATTCTGATGAAACTTGGTGTGATCATTGGAATTCATAAGATCTCGGACAAATTCTAACTTGACGCATTTACGATGAACGGTTTTTGAGTTATTGCCCTTGACTTTGTTAAAACGCGTCAAAATTTGTTAAAAATAGTTCGTGAGCAGGATTGAAGCTACAGTTTTCAACCGATTCTGATGAAACTTGGTGTGATCATTGGAATTCATAAGATCTCGGACAAGTTCTAACAAGAGCTATTTTTGATGAACATTTTTTGAGTTATTGCCTTTGACTTTGTAAATACGCGTCAAAAGTTGTTTTTTGCCCTTGATTAGAGCTGTGTGATTTAATTTGGGTTATTGATATTGATTTTAAAAAATTTTGTGAAATTATTCAGCATGAATAATTTCTTCAATATGAGAAAATTCGTACTTTAGTCACTAAAGACTGTTTTATTATTTCTGACAGCTGCCAGTGGGCGTATGTTACCTTGCAACGCAAGCTATCTTAATGAAACTTGGTGTGATAATGTATATTGATGAGATCTTGGTCAGGTTCGAATTTGACGATCTTTTTGAGTTATTGCCCTTGACTTAGGAAAAAAGTGTCAAAATTTGTTTGTTAACACATTAGAAACTACAGTTTCAACTGATTTTAATAAAATTTGGTATGATCTTTTATATTGATGAAATGGACAAGTTTGAACTTGATGATATTTCGATGAACAGTTTTTGAGTTATAGCCCTTGACTTAAAGATTTCAAAAAAATTTCTTTAATATGAGAAAATTCATACTTTAGTCACTAAAGACTGTTTTATCATTTCTGACAGCTGCCACTGGGCGTATGTTACCTTGGCTGGCAAGCTATCTTTAAGTATTATTATTAAAAAAAAATTATTCTGTTTATTTCAGGAAAAATATACTACGAGACCAGAACAGTATTAAAAAAAGTAAATATAGAACAGAACCATTACCACCCAATAGACAAGCTGTTGTAGATTGGTTTATTAATGAAGAAAAACCTAGAGGTGCTGGATTAGATTTACAAACGAACGAAATAGCTGAATGGTTTCATGGTAAGTTCAGGCTTTTCATATACGCATACTCATATACTATAAATAGGCCTTATTTTTTCCTCATCTGAAGGAAACCTTTCTCACAAGACAATATTACCTTAGGGTTGAAGAGTTAGATTAGTCAATGCTGCTGGGGTGATTGAAAAATAACATTTCATCGAATAGCAATTCATCTGATATGCTTTGATATCAATTTATGTCAGATGAATTGCTATTCGATGAATAGCAGACAGGTTTTTAGTAGTTTTACATGTAACATGACATAGTTGGCACACTTTTATCTGCCTGCATGAACCAATCTGATTAGACATTGTTAATAGTTTATAATTTGTTACTACATGTATTTTGTAGGTATTATCAGTAGAACAGATGCAGAAAAAGTTTTAGAAGGAAGTAAAAAAGGATCATTTATTGTCCGTGTTAGTGAGAGAGTATGGGGTTATACTATATCATACAAAGCTGAAGAAAGATTAAAACATTTTTTGATTGATACATCAGAAGAAGGGTATCAGTTTTTCGGTGCTAATCAAGTGAGGCATGAAACCTTGTCAGACTTAGTCAACTTTCATAAAGTAAGTATTGCTATGTTTCTCTCCTCCCAAATTTTAAAACGATAAAGCCATCTTAATGTTTGCTATGGTTGTAACTGTCTGTGAAATGACTAAGAAAGGAATGATTATCTGAACTTCTTTTTGTGGCTATGTTGACACAAATTACCGTGATTGTTATAAAACTTTCAAATATGAACAGAACTTTCAGTTTTGTATTAAATGAAAACAGGGAAGTGGTTTGCTAACAGATAAAGACATTTGGGCTTTTTATGTTGATTGATCAAGAAAAGAAGTTGAACAAAGCTTCTTGAAGCCAATATGTACGAAATGCAATAGTAAAATTTGAGTGTTAAGAAGTGGACAGCGGTAGCGAAGCTAACTTACTTACTACCTAATACCTAACACTGTCAGTCAAAATGTCATGTGATTGTGAAATTCATAAACATTAAGCAAGCCACTTAATAGAACATTTTGGATGAAAGAGTGGGTTAGGTTTTTTTATAATGTCCCTCGCAAGATTTGCTATTACACAAACATTATTGTATTATAATAGAAATGGTAATATTTGTGAACAATGTGTGAACTATAGGGTAGTTCAAATGTAAGATTGGTGTAGTATAACACTTCCTGTTATAAGGAATGTCATTAACTAATTAATATAGGTCAATGAAGTATATATGATACACCCTGTTAGACTTATTATTAGGCAAAATTTAGGATAATATTGTAACAAAATATTATGCTAGTATGGAAACTTCCAAAAGAAGATGAATTTAAATGTTAGATAATTACTAAGCTCTGTTATCAAAGTTGGATATTGGGTTATAACCATGCTTTAAGCGAGATGTTTTAAGAGTCTTGGTCAAGTTCTTGGTCAATCTTTTGTATGTACTCTGAGAAAAAAATGTCTTCAAATGTCCTCTTATTTCCTCTTTCAATGGAAATAAAATTTCTTTAAGTGATATATTGAAATAGTATTAACATGTTTATGTTCTGAAATAATTTTATCTTTTATGTTTGTACCTCTTTCTTTTTCAGGATGCCCCCATAACAATTATAGGAGATGAAACATTGATATATCCTGTTGGTCAAATTACTGCAGTGCCAGATTATTCAGAACTTTTCCCTCATAATATGGTCATGACATCATTATAGCAATATTCAAGAGGAAAGTAAAACAGGAGTGATAAATGATGCAAGGCAGGGGTCATTACATTCAATTTGATATTAATGCAGTCATTACAGCATAAATTACAAAATTCAAGAAGATAATGTAATGAACAACAATGACTACAGACCCCAGTCTTGTGATCGTGGATGATCAACTATAGTACAGTAATAAAAACTGCATATTATTAAACCTGATTTGAGAATATTTGATATTAAAGATATTTAAAATGTGATGTGATGCATAAGGAAGGGATCAAGTGTTTATTGACAGTGTTACTTTAAGCCAACTAGGAGCTGTATGAAATATAGAGTTTATAAGTGTTAACTTTAGACTTAATAGTTTAAATCATTGAAGAAATGGTATACTGTAATCATTTTTGATTGATGACTAGCTTCATTTCAATGTGTTATAAGCTATTATGTGTGCATGTGTAAATATTTGATGTGTTCATTTTAACAGTGATATTATTACTGTATACAACAGCATTATAATTTTGGTTTCAAGCCTTTACATAAAGCTTGTCAGATGCCTTACAGAAAGACAAATTTGCATTCTTACTCTCTGCATTGTCATCCTATATCATATTTAAATACTTCCATTATTTCTATAATTGTGTATTGTTTTTAATAATTGATACCATTTCCTACATGTGTTAACATCCAGGTGTGCCTTATTTAGAATACTGATATATGTCATGTGACTGTGGCTTACATTCATCTGAATTGTCTCACTTTAATTTGAGAATGAGACAAAGAGGTAAACATGTATTTGTCCAAGTATATATTGAAATATTTGATTAATTTGAAACATAATTTTTATCTCTCAGTGCAACTTTTACTTTAAAAATCTGATGTTTACATTTATTAGGGAACAGAATTTCTAATGAATGTAATTAATAGATCATTTTTATTATCGAGCAAACATATTTATAATCATCCAACATCAAGCAAACATATTTATACACATCTGACATCAGGCAGACATATATATTCACATCCAGAACAGTCTACTTTATTTTAAGGTAATTTAAGTATAAATCAACACAATATAAAGTCTATATAGTTTTATAAATAGGTTTTGTTTTAATATTTCTAATTTCATTAACTATATAATTTACCTAAAAAATAAAATGGACTGCTGGTGTTTATGTTTTGAATCTGATCCTGATGTCTTTATTTAACAAAAGGCTACATGGAATTAATATTTATTATTTACCTAATAAAGTCAACTTTTAGTCAGTTTAAGTATTTTAGTCATTTTTCTTCTAGACAGGATTGATAATAGTTTATAAACTATATTTTTTTCTAGCTATTTTCTCTTTTGAAATGAATTTAAACATCATTTATTATGAGGCAGTAAGAACAACATTTTACTGTTGCATTCCCTGCTGCTCCTGATATAATAATGTGAATGTGCACAAGAAAACAATGAATTCATGCTCCACATGTCATCTATAATTAGATATTATATATTTCCATCCTTTGGGAAAGGATTTAAGTATAAGGATGAACATCATCAATTATTTGTATCTTATCTTGATAAATTTCTATATTTGAAAACTCTCCTACAAGCTTTTGTACTATAATATTTTGAAATTTGAAATATATTATTGTCTACAGTTGTCAGAAACAACAAATACTGGTATGCAAAATTGTGAAAATACTAATTGGTTGAGAAACAATGCAAATGAATCAGGATTAATATAAATTTTTTTTTTTTTTATTAAATTATCAGATTAGCATTGAGATACCAATTTGTTAAGAAAACTTGCCATAATAATTTTCTGGATTGTAATTGAATGTACCATTTTAATGAAGAATATTTCCTATAGAATCTGAAATCAAAATGTATTTTATTCTCATTTTCTTGATATTTAAATCTGCTTTTTATTTTTCATTTGAAGTAAAAACTCAAGATATTGATGGTTATTTTTCTTATACATTTATGTCCCCTGTTAAATTTAGTCCATTATAAGATCACCTGTTACATATTGTAGATGGACTTTAAAAAAAGTGGATGAATGTGAACATGTTATGACGAGAGAAGCTCTCATTGCACAATCCATATGTAACAAGGTGTATTTGTGTAATACCCCCAGGAAAGCAGGGCTCATATAGAAAGACTGGCCTAGAAAGAAATGGCATTAAACTATTATATTGTATGTGTTTAATACTGAATGGTGCATATAACACTTTGATTTACATTTCAAATGTGAAATTCACAAAAAATGAATTGCACAGAATATATCACACACGTAAAATGGAACACACAAAAATATTGAATCTCAAAATATAATTTGATCCTTTTGATTGAAATAGAATACTGTTTTATTATCACTGTGTAAAACTGATTTCAGTCCTGTATCTCTACAATATTAATCTCAGTTTTATTGCACTTTGAAAGGTCAGATGCCAATCCTAATCTCCCACATAATCCACTGGAAGAATAATGAATATGATTTGATAAAAATAATGAGTATTTATAAGTTATTACAATATACATTTCTTATATACACCAATTCACATGTCATATTCATTCCAACTTTTCTTCATTTGGTTTGATTATTTGAGATAGGTTTCCATTGAAACGATGGTACCAGTAATCAAACATTAGGTAAACTATTATCTTTATCTGAATCAAGAGAATTATGCTGAAAGACAAAAATATACAGGATTCAAACTTTAAATAGAGACATCCTCATGCAAAAGTTTTTGTCATTAACTTTTCACTCAAATGGTTTGAACCAAAAAGAGATGATTAAAATAAAGTTTTGCACAATGATCAATTTTTAACTAAACAGCAAACCTGATTTGTAGATCCCATAAAATCTAAATTTGTAATATGTGGTATCACGGTCACATTAGATTTCTTACTTGGTTTATCTTTGGTTTTAGCTGTAATGAAAATAACTTGGCTTAAATAATTCTTTATACTGAGAGATTTTAGAGGAATGATTTTTGTTACCATATTCTTAGTTGATTTAATTAATCTTGTCTAAATATCAATCATCTCTACTTCTAAGACCACATTGTCATAGTAACAGACACAAAACAACACTTCATCTTCAAAGTTTCACTGATTTTTGATGACTATATTTTTAGATATACGATGATATATATTTTCACTGTTAAAATTGTGTTCAATATATCAATTGTAGAGCGATATTTCTATTTTAAGATATATAATATTACTTGTATTTTATCAGTGATAAATTGTCAAGAGCTTACTGCTGTCAAGTTTATGTTAACAAATTATGAAACGTCAACTTTCATTTTCTTAAGCAATTTCATGATGTCAAGTAATAAGTTTATATGTCTTTATGCCTGTATCATATAGTATCAACACACAACCAGTACTACCTACCTTCTGCTCCCTTTACTTCTGGTAAACTTAAACCTCGGACTTCTGGAAAACTTAACAGTCCTTTTTCACCATTTTTCTTACTTGTTTTAGTGGAATCATAGTGAGTTAGTTTATCATGTAAAGAACTTTTCTCTGTTTGTAATGGTTGGGGACTAATAGATACACTATGATGGTTTGAAGGAGAAGGTTTTTTAAAATTTGACGATGATGATTTCTTCACTGCTTTATCATTGATCCTGTAAAACACAAATAACAAATTATTTCAAAGAACATATTTCAATTTGACCACATGTCCAAAGCCAATTCATCAAATTTACTGTGTATATTGTGTGCATTATTATCTAATGTTGTAAACATTCAATTTTTCTGCATGTACAAGGTTAGGAACTGAAGTTTAACTGGAAGTGGTCTGAATTCACTGCTCATAAAAACATATATGCACTTTTATAAAGGTTCAATCAAAACCTAAATTTTTCAATGCTATTTATTAGGTTTAGAATTTTGAAGATTTTATGCTTGTAGAATATTTACATTAATAACTAACAGAATCTATTGTTTCTATGAAATAAATATATAAATAATATAGCCTTATAACTGTCAATTATATCACATTATTGTTATTATCATTCAACTTTTATAACTTTCAATCAATAACACCATAAAATAAACCTTATCACAATATATAAATATCACACATTATCATGGCAAGAAAGAGAGAAGCAAGCTCAGAAGATAACACTGAAGACACAGTTAAGATATCCAATACAGAGTAATTAAAATTCTTCTTGGATGTTTGGTTTTGAATAATTATAGTGTAAAAAGTATATTTTCAATAGCAGAAGAAGAAGACATAGAAAAGGCTAAAAATAACACTTAATATGAGCAAGGAGTGAGAGATAATTGACATTGAAGTGGGTATTGTGAAAATTTAAAATGACCATCACCAATGGCATACCATAAAATTCAAGATATTAAAATACAGAGGTATGTCCACATTAGCTTTCTTTGGTAATTTAAATCTGACAACCTAATTTTCATGAAAATATGTTAAAGAGTAATAAAAAGGAACAGTGACAATGAGACAGCAGACATCAGTTTCTAGAAATTTATCCAGTGCTAAGTATATGAAATTACATCTTTTGATGTGAAACATGCCATGCATTATTTGTGTGATTCAACTGTAGGTATCTTACCGGACTGGGGTAGGTCCCCATAAAGACCCTAACAAATTGGGACTGGATAAATTAAAGTTATTAACTGATACTGGTATGTAATGAACTGAGCTGTAATGGAAAGATAGCTTAAACAACATGGTAATTTGTATATTTGAAATTCCTTTTTTCTCAATAACCACATCAGAGATGATACCAAATTTCTTAATCAAGTCTAATTAAAATTCATTCAGATAATTCAATTGAAAGCATTTCTTTTAAAATCCATAAAATTGTTCAAGGTTAGAAAAACAATATATAATGGGTATAGGAAGAAAAGGGATGCAGCTGAAAACACACTAGTCAAATCTGTTATAAGAAAGATAAAATGGGATAACTTAGAAGGGAAATGAAATAAAACATATATTGTCATATGTAATCACCTTAAACGAATTAATACTTTATTAGCTCTGTAAAAAAATAATTCTTCTATAACTTCACAACAGTATAATTACAAAATCTCAAAAAATTCCCCCCAAATTACATAGAAAATAACATGTACTAGATATATTTCTACATTGCACAGGAACTAATTAGATACAGAAAAAAGCTAATGGGAATCTAATGATCTAGTAAACAAATTAATACCAATACATACCTGTTAATAGCTGGTATAGATTGATTACCACCAACATTCTGTACCAGATTAATAGGTGGTATTGTGGTACCACCAGCTTGATGTGGTGATAAACAGTTTTCTTTATCAGAATCTTTCTCTAAATCTTTCTTTATCACTTTATCAGCTGGTTCATCAACACTACTAGATAATGGTATGACTGGCTGACTTACTACACCACCTACAGGAGCAGCTGGTAACGTCAGAGTGGCCTCTTTACTTGGTGTACTTTCTTTACTTGGTGTACCTTCTTTACTTATTGTTGTAACTTTCTTTGGTGCAGTCTTACTTTCTGTTTCTGTTATTTTCTTCTTTAATTTATCTTCACTTGATTCTTTATCCTGTAAGGTTTAAATTTGAAATCAAAGTATTTCCTCTCTGTGAATTAAGTCCAAATAAAGAATCTAGCTATTTACTAAAAAATATTTTTTCTGGTAACTTCTTTTAAAGTGCAGATTGAACATGAAATCTCAAAAAGTCTTCACCTGTCACCCAGCTAATGCAAAGTTTTCTTTGTAGATGTGATGACAGAACACGACACAATTTTTCTATGAATGTTAAGGCTAATCTGTATGAGGATGATTTGAAAAACTTGCAACAGTTTAAAATGGACATTTTAACAACCTTTAAACAATTAATATTCTATAGTGTAGATGAAAAGAGCCATATTTATATCTACAGACAATATGTCTAAATCAGCAAGATTGGATGAATCATACCTGTAACTTTTCTTTACTGTCTTTAGAACCATCTTTGGAATCTACTTTTTTCTTTATTTTCTTCTTCAAAGAATCTGTGGAATCCTTTTCATTAGTAGCACTATCAGGTTTATTGGTTGATTTTATTAGAGGATTATCTTGATTGGCACGATGTAATTTGGTTTTTAAATCTTGTGCAAACTTTTGAGCGAAACCATCTTTTTGGAAGAATTCACGTTTCACTAACTCTGAGCACTGAGGTCTATCATCTGGATCTAATTTTAAACATTGCTGAAAATAACAATAAAATATCCTTTACCAATTGCTTTGTTGTTTACAGAATAAGAAGAAACTTGATGAATAAGCTTACTAAAACAAATATCTCCGAGCTACTTGGCCAGATGTAGTACCACATATATGATGAAATTTTTCATAACATTCTGCCTGTAGTCTCTACCTTTAAAATACATCAAAAAAATATTCTACATACCTTCATTATATCTAAAGCTATGTTTGATACACGTTTAAATGTCTTCTCTAAAGGTGTAGTTTCTCTCACTTCTGGTAACCTCATACCAACAAATAATGGATTCCGTAGAAATACCTCTCTATGTCTGGTAGGTAAATTACCTAGAAACAGATATAATATATGTTAATCTAATAAGACATTATTCATGTGTTCATATTGATTTCAGAAAGAGGCTATTAACGCAAACAAACAAAGGTTGTGTCACTGCAGTAAATGTTAAAATCGCCACCTTGGCATCTTTAAAGCCTCCTTCTCCAATCCTACTACCTAAAACTAATCATATTTTTAATCATTAGAATCCTTCATTAAGCTATCTAATGATAATTTCAGATGAATTTTACCATCACACATTTCTGAGAAAGGACAGTTTTAAGCCTATTTTCTCTCTGTTGATCCGGTGATAAGTCACATAGTCTATTCATACATATATGACAAGGCCATCTCATCAATGGATGATGTAATTGCCTTTACGAACTTAGCTTTCAGTGTCTCAAACAAGGCGTGAATAAGGTCTAAGGCATAAATTATCACTTAGTTTTTGAAAAATATAGCTGACAATGATTAACAGTTATAGGATAAATAGAAGCCAGATTCTCATTAGGGTATATTGATAACAATACCTACCAAAACATTTTACAATATGATATAATTGATCTATATCTGAATCACCAGGAAATAATGGTTCACCAGTTAACATTTCAGCTACTAAACATCCTATAGCCCATAAATCTACAGCTCTAGAAAAATCAATGATATATCAATTATTTACTTATTTCTATTGTCTGTACAATTAACTACTATCTTAATGAATAATCACTTATCATTAATTTAAGATCTAATTCATGATCTTTTTATTTCTTTCTTAACAACGTAAACATGTAAGCTGAAATAATATTGAATCAGTGAGGTGACTCACGTGAAGCTGTAAGATCCAGTTAAGAACACCTATTTTTATTGTCCACCTAGAGTTGGCGGCTACCATCCTCAACAGTTATTTTCAGATACACAAAATTAGTTTCCACCATATGACTGTTGATGAAGTTAGCAATCATAGTATAACACAGCTCATCATATGAAATATCTAATGCTACCTTATGATTGGGGTTTTTAATGATAGGGTTCACTTTTTGGCATCAGCATTGCAGATGGAAGCAATTTCCCAACAAATCTCCATCAATCAATACTGACCTGCCATATTTGGTATCACCAACTAATAATTCTGGTGCTCTATACCATCTAGTTGCTACATAATCTGTATAGGTTTCACCAGGTTGAGCTAGTGTTCTAGCAAATCCAAAATCACATAACTTAACAATGCCATTTCTACTGACTAATATATTCTCAGGTTTGATATCACGATGTATAATCTAGAAATAAAAATATACTTGGTTTGATATCACGATGTACAATCTAGATATAAAAATATACTTGGTTTGATATCAATATCACAATCTATAATCTAGAAATAAAAATATAATTTGGTTTGATATCAGAATGTATAATCTAGAAATAAAAATATACTTGGGTTGATATCACAATGTATAATCAAGATATAAAAATATACTTGGTTTAATATCACGATGTATAATCTAGAAATAAAAATATTATTTGGTTTGATATCAAGATGTATAATCTAGAAACGAAAATATTACCGGTATTTGGTTTGATATCAGGACGTATAATCTAGATATAAAAATATACTTGGTTTGATATCACGATGTATAATCTAGAAATAAAAATATCACTTGGTTTGATATCAACATGTATAATCTAGAAATAAAAAATATCACTTGGTTTGAAATCACGATGTATAATCTAGATATAAAAATATACTTGGTTTGATATCAGGATGTATAATCTAGAAATAAAAATTTACTTGGTTTGATATCAGGATGTATCATCTAGAAATAAAAATATACTTGGTTTGATATCATGATGTATAATCTAGAAATAAAAATATATTTGGTTTGATATCAGGATGTATAATCTAGAAATAAAAATATACTTGGTTTGATATCAGGATGTATAATCTAGATATAAAAATATACTTGGTTTGATATCATAATGTATAATCTAGAAATAAAAATGTTATTTGGTTTGATATCATGATGTATAATCTAGAAATAAAAATGTTATTTGGTTTGATATCATGATGTATAATCTAGAAATAACAATATAATTTGGTTTGATATCAGGATGTATAATCTAGAAATAAAAATATACTTGGTTTGATATCATGATGTATAATCTAGAAATAAAAATATACTTGGTTTAATATCACGATGTATAATCTAGAAATAAAAATATACTTGGTTTAATATCACGATGTATAATCTAGAAAAAAAAATATACCTGGTTTAATATCACGATGTATAATCTAGAAATAAAAATATACTCGGTTTAATATCACGATGTATAATCTAGAAATAAAAATATACTTGGTTTAATATCACGATGCATAATCTAGAAATAAAAATATACTTGGTTTAATATCACCATGTATAATCTAGAAATAAAAATATTATTTGGTTTGATATCAGGATGTATAATCTAGAAATAAAAATGTTATTTGGTTTGATATCTATATTGATATTGATGGTTTGATAAATAATAAAAAATCAAAATAGATATTGAAAGTCTGTCAGCATATTTTCACTTATATTTCTGAAATTACACCAGACTGATTTGCATTATGAAAAGTGACAACTAATCGTAAGCTCCGTTAGCTATAGATTCTTCTAAAATCTTTGACAGCATGAAGACTATGTCTGTTTTTCTCCAATAGCAATAAAAGTATACTTACACTGTGTAAATGGCAGAATTCGATTCCTTTTAATACTTGAAATAGTATTTTTCTCACTGTATTTTCATCTAGTCCATTAGGACATTTCTCTAATTCATCTAGTACTGTATGATCCACAAACTCAAACACTAAATATAGTCTTTTCTTTCGACGGAATACTTCTAGTAGATTTACTAAATGATCATGTCTTAGTTGCTGATAATAAAAATTATATAGAACTAAATGAATGAACATTAGCATGGATGATACTTGAAGGTTTATTGGATGTGAAGTCAAATTTTGAAATAATAATCTACTTCATTTTGTCAATCTTATGAGAAAACTGCTGACCAATTTTTATTTAAGAAAGCAGCTGCCAATGTAACTGACATTTCATATGTATCTTTCTCTGAAGAAAGTGTTTTTTTATTATTTGATTTGGATTTTTACATCCCCCCCCCCTCCTTTCTAACCTAGTTAGAAATGCCTGGTGATGCTAGAAACACCATTGGCCAGGCTACTTATGAAAAAGTCCTTATAACCTAGCATAATTGAAAAATATTCCTACGTGTATTTATGAAACGCATTAAGGAAATCGAAGATATGCAAGCGAAACATTTTCAAAGCCTTGAATATTGCTTCAATAAAAGGTTTATAAAACTTAAGATAATCTCTAAAAAAAAGTGTCCTTCAAGTACAATGACTACCAAGTACCTATCATTAAAGCATACTGTCTACAGTCATATTAAGTATCTATATATAAGTATATATTAAGTATATATTGTCTATATAAGTAGTGGTAACTGAAGTATATCTATAAGTTTATCAATAAATCCTCTATTATAACAATACAAAACAACTTGTACAAATATCTTTCAATTCTTTTCCTATTGTTTAAGCTCAAATGGTCTTTAGATATATTTCATATAACATATGAACTTTCATATAAAGTATCAAATTTCAAAAAGTGTTGTAAGTTGCAAGTAAAATCTGGGAGTTTGGACATAAAAATAAAGACAGAAAGATTCTGGAGGAAGATTTTTTTGCAGCACAAAATAATATCACTGAATGATCACAACCTATAATGGACTCACTCCAACTAATTTTACCTGATAGATGTGTGGGTCTAAAAAAAAAAGACAATTTTGTCTTTGAAATATGTGGCATGAACCAATACCCTAACTAAACTCGGATAATGTTCATATCTTTTTTCCAGAATTCTCACTTTTTCTAAACTTTTCAAAGATTGTGGCCTTCAATACAACAGATAAAAATTATAGCCTAGAGAAATACCTAAGAAGTATTTCAGAAATCCTATAAGAATAAGTCAGTGAAATCCAGATTTGAAGTGATTAAGTAAGCTTGAATGATCAAAGATTTACTAATCCAGCTAATCTATGTTTATTTCACTCTTACTTCATTATAATAGAGTATTCATATACTAATCTTTATATCATACACTAGACTGGACAATTGCAATACATGTACCCCATATTCTCAACACAAAGTTAACCATATTACAAGAACCATTGCTCACATTTTTTGAAAAATTTTTTCATACAACATAAATTTGGGTATTATTGCACATAATATTTCAAAACATTTAATACGCACACAACTTAGTTTATGAAAAGGGTTGAATATTGTCCACTCTATATAAAAAAGTTCAAACATCATATCAAAGAATTCTACCTTGTAATCAAGAGATATACAATTTCTAAATCATAACATACTCTGGAAATTGTCATTAGAGTGATCAAAATCTTATATCCAACTCGGAATCAGTGAAATCATCATTTGATCCCTTTCTTTCTTTTAGATTATAAGATCAAAATTTGTTTTGAATTCTAAATAATGCACAAAAATGACCTTAAACAACTTCATGATTGATTTTAAATTATATGGTTTCCCACACTACCACTTGCCAGCAAGGGGCATCTTGGCCAGTGAAGTCAAAGAAAAACACAAAACGGAATATAAAGATTCTCATCAAATGACTTGCCAGAATCAAAGTTTCATTTTTCATTCTAAAAACAGAAAAATCTTAACAATTTTTTTACCAACCTTTAACATTTTCACTTCTCTTAAAGCAATTTTCTTCACCATTTTATCATCTTCACTTTCTAAGAATTTTTTAATGGCTACAATTTGTCCACTTTCCTTGTGCTTACATTTTAATACCATACCATAACTTCCCTCTCCCACTAATCCTAAATTTTCATATTTTTCCATAGCTTTACTTGGTCCTATTCCATAGAGTACTAGTGTCTAAAAAGGAACATAACAAAGTTGAAGTAAATGTAGATCTATCAATGTAGGCTTCTACTTGTATTTAATGAATTTTCACCACAACTTATACTCTAAAGATCTTTAACACCTAACATTATATTCGAATAACTAAATCTATTTTCCACGTAAATACTAAATAAAATGTATCCAGAGAAAGGGGAATCTGGATGAATTCTTTCATTTCTTGGAGTAATCCCTAATTTTTACTATCTTTATGTATCTGTATTTTCTACCACTTTTCAAAATTGCAGTCCCAAGTAATGTTCTTCTGCAAAATGCACTATGGAAGTTTAGAACATCATCACTTCCAGGTAGTAACTAACAATCTCTGGCAGTTATAACATTAAATATTGTGACAATTCAATCCCTTTAAGTTTAGAGAATGCACCAGTTTTAAAATATTGGCTATATAAATTGTGTAAAGTATGTTGTAAGATGTAATAGATCTATAATAAAGGAGTTTATGTAAATATGTATTTAGTAGGTATAATAAACGACTACTGAAATATATTAAAACATAATATAAGTATAAAATAACATGTTGATATAAGTACCATTCACTGTCAGTTATCTACTACATCAAAATTTAATCTTTTTTCTGTGAATATCTGAATCATTACTTAAGAAATTTAGAATGCAGTTAAATTCCATTGTTAAGGACTCTTTATCAATGTTTACTACATCTTGATGTGTATCAGGATCCCTTATTAGATTCAAAAATAGGATTTCCCATTTGCCAGCAGAGTTTTATAAAAAATATTTCAACATCAAATACCATTTGAGACAAATTTGATATATGAGATATGATATCTCTTTTGTATCTTTTAAAAAGGTTGTAAAAAGTACCTTAAGTAAGCCAACTCAATGTTCAAGAGAAAATATTATAAAGACTTACCTGGGATTTGGACTTTTTTGCGTCAGTTTTCATAGGGAAAATCAGAGTTCAGTTTGCCGAGTATAAGGAGAGAAATGATCACAAGTAAATCTGTTCATAATTTTCACAATAAAATACAATAACTTTCTTCAAATCCTGACTTTCCAATACTAAGTCTGTGTATATTCTTCATAAATAACACTTTGTTAACATCAGATCTTGGCAATATAAAATATTAATGTGTATATAATCTCAATCCTTGATAACTCCCAGTTAATTATCCACTTTAAGTGTTGATATACTACTGTTCACTAAAAACTTCTTGTTGAATATACCATACATTCAGCATCCAGTTTCAAATTAAGCCATACAGTTCTATATCTATATATTCTAAGTAAATAATCCACTAATTCTTCAAATATAACATTTCTATTGAAGATTATTCCTTGATTGAACAAATAAACGTTGTATTGTTGACGACGTAATTTGATTGTTTCACGTTATCAGCCATAGCCGACGTATCTAGTGACAACAATATACTGACTTGCGCACTACTGTATTAATTTAGCTGTATTCATTGTTAAAACAATTAACCGTTATATAAACATTTCTGTTAACAGTTGTTCATTACATTACGGTATTTGACGTTAGATCATTGCTGAAAGAGTCAAATTTAATTGTCAGGAGTTCTACATTTAGTTGACTTTTGATTTTCTATTGGCGTTTTTGCAGGTCGTTTAGTATGGATTTAATTGGCAAAAACTGAAATATAAGAACGGATCTTCAACATAAGCATAAGCCCAATGAGCTCTGTTCTATATTTCTATATTCCATGCAAAATATTGAACATCTGAATGAGGTTTCCGTACATTATTATCTTCAAATACTGACACCTGATCGACATATTCCCAGCAAATAAAAAATACCGAGCTCTCCGCTTGCAGACTTTAATTAGTATACTGAGCCCTGATTGAGGTCTCTATTCGCAGACAGTACTCTGATGTTTCCATGTGTGAAATCCAATTATTAAGCTCTGTACAAGGTCTTTGTTTGCCGACTTAAATTACTGAGCTCTGATTGGGATTTCCGTCTATAGACTCCGTTCGCAGACTTGCCGAGCTCTGATTAAGGTTTCCGCTTGTAGAACCAAAATTAGCTATGTATAAGATCTCCATAACATGTCAACTTTAATTACTGAGGTTTGATTGGGGTTTCCGTCTACAGGTGTAAATTACGGAGGTCTGATTGGGGTGTCCGTCTACAGACTTAAACTATAGACGTAAATTACTGAGGTCTGATTAAGGTCTATAGTCGTAAATTACTAAGGTCTGATTGGGGTTTCCGTCTACAGACAAAATTACTGAGGTCTGATTTGGGTTTCCGTCTACAGACGTAAATTACTGAGGTCTGATTGAAGTTTCCGTCTACAGACAAAATTACTGAGGTCTGTTTGGGGTTTCCGTCTGCAGACGTAAATTACTGAGGTCTCATTGGGGTTTCCGTCTACATACTTAAACTACAGACGTAAATTACTGAGGTCTGATTAGGGTCTACAGGACGTAAATTACTGAGGTCTGATTGGGGTTTCAGTCTACAGACTTAATTACTGAGTCTGATGGGGTTTTCCGTCTACAGACTTAAATCACTGGGGTCTCATTGGGGTTTCCGTCTACAGACTGAGCTCTGGGTTCCTCTATAGGCTACATAATAAAATAAGGAGACCTGATTGAGGTTTAAGGTAACAACTTACAATACCGAGCTCGGGTGGAGGTAGCCTTATCTTATACATGATAATATATTGAACTTTGTGGGTTGGTAGATGACTAGTTAACGTCCACTTTCAGCTTTGATTGAGGTCCCGTATGTATACATACTTATTGATATTACCATTAGTAGTTTCAAATTACTGAGTTTTTATTAAGTGTCTGCATGCAAATTCCAACAACTGAGGTTTGAAGCTTTAGGAATATTTATTGAACAAAGCGTCGGTATGCAGCACGAAGCTTTCATCTAGGTTTCCTCCTGAAGTTTAGAAATAAAAGTCCAATAGTTTTTAGCCAACCTGCAGCTTGGTATTCTTTAATTGGGGTGTCTGTAAGGGGATTTAAAATGATGTTCTACAAAACTTCGATTAAGGTGGCCGTGTGGATGAAAATTGATGTCTTCTTGCTTCAGATTCATGCTAATAAAAAATGTATACCTAATCATAAGTACCATCCTTGTGATCAGGGTTCTCTTGGGTATTGTAAAAAATATATTTATCCATTGATAATTCAACCTAATTGGTACTTCCTCTCAAGCATGCCAAAGTACATGAATGATTAACACCATAATAGGATGGTTAGGGTAGGGTCACAGTCTATTGAAAGAAAGTTTGATATAACATCTCGTTAGAACATCCATTGACAGAATCCATAGAAATTTGATATATTGTTCAATTCCATCATCCTTTTAAAACATCATTTCATCCCCGACTGTCTTCAATGGAGATTTTAAAGATATAAAATAAACCATAATGATGTAAGGAATCTCATAAAAGGGCCTTATTGTTTTATTCTGTTGAAAAATACTGATAGGCTGAATAAGAATCATCACAATTCAGATTAGCTGGACAGTGGGTGGGAAAAAAACGTTTAACCAAATTTCAATGTTACTTGTGTATTTCAAAACTAAATCAGATTGATGATTAAAAGCAAGCACTTTTTCGTTAACAAAACAATAAGTTAGTTATAAATGCAACAATAGAGTGTATAATATATGATAAATAAAGATGATATCTCCTCACATCATAATGTTCCGAGATCAATTGATGTATTATTATTCACCTTATTATAGTCCTAGAAACTTACTCATTAAAAGTTAATGTCCCCGATGGAATTTGATCTGTGTAAAGCACTATTTCATTCAAAATATACCACAAAACAATTTTCAGACATAAAAAGTGAATGGCAAAATTGTCTTCTTTTTGACTTCAAGCTATATACCGACTTAACAGCATTAAAAGGTTATGATATTAAGTTGTCTATCTGATTGCACAAAATAGTTTATTACTGACCAAGGCTTGCTATGAAAATTTCAGAGTGTGACATAAAGCTCTCATTGCCCTTAAACCATAAAAAAACTTCTTTTCAATCCCTTTAAAACAAGAGTTGATGTTAAGACTAAAGTTTAGACATTTCTAGGACTTGTTTTTCTATAAATATCTATGGAATCATACACTATCACATTTTTATCTTCAGTTTAGAAGATTGGTGAAATGCCTCCGTTCATTTCACATCCATAACATTTCACTATCACAATATAGACACCAATGTATATATTTATACTGTATATTAGTATATATCACTAGGCCTGCTATAAAACTGGTTTATCTATGACAGTGACACCAGCATAACTTCGTCCTGTCATCATGCTAGATGATAATAATGTCCATGTATCAGATTTACTGTCATATACTTCTACTGATCCTAAATTACTGGATCCATCATCACCTCCCACAACATATAATAATCCATTGTTAGCTACAACTCCTACAAAATATATTAATACATTAGTAACTACATATAAATTCATGAGAGTCAAAAGAGATAACATTGTATCTGTCATTGAGTCGTAAACTGCCAACATGATCTTTTTGGATAATGACAATATAATTCAGAAAAATCAACTAAAAACTAAAGGAAAAAAGGGCAATAACTCCGCTTTATACAGACGACTGCAATAAAATTGGTGATCTTCTCTCTATAATATATACAAATAATTAATTTTATCAGAATCAATGAAATACTGTAGCTTACAAGGAAATATAAATAAGCAGATTGAGAAAGTGTGGAGATGACAAGAATGTCTACAATATGCATGTTTTCAGAATTCTGTTTCTAAACTGTAAACATAGAGATGAAAAATATATACAAATTATTCACCTGCATTTCGTCGACAAAGATGCATATCAGCTACAGGAGTCCATGTATTACATTCTGGATTATATACCTCTACACTCTTTCTAACTAAAGGTCCATCATGTCCTCCAACAGCATACAATAACCCATCAACAACACCAACGCCTACAATAATAAGTTGATAATTTAGATTCCTTGTTGTCAAAGGGGAATAATTCAAGTAACATAAAATGTAGCAAGTTCTTCTTACATCATACAATAAATCACCGTATGTATAATACAAATATAACCAAATTAATTACAAATGTATGCTTTTCCTACCTGCTCCACTTCTTCTACATGACATTTCTGCTACAAGTATCCATACATCAGCTAGTATATTATAACATTCTACAGAACTTAGACATTGTCTACTGGCCCCATCATATCCCCCGACAGCATATAGAAACCCTCCTACTACCCCCACGCCTACACTACTTCTTCTTACACTCATAGACGGCATCATCTTCCATTCTCCTGTTCTAACATCAAAATATTCAGCACTATCTAGACCTGGAATAGGATAAATGATTTCTGCGTTAAACTTGATGATTAAAAACGACAAATAATTCAACATTTTCAGGTTAATAACAAACGTAGCTATATAGTCAGTTTTCAAAGATATATTATCTGAAAACTTTACTACAATTTCATTCATGACCCTTTAAAAAGCAATGAAGATCTAAGCTTAATATAAAATTCAATTTGGTTAACATATGTTACAGTACTAAATCATTACCTGTAGAACCATCAAAACCTCCAACAGCATAAATAAGATTATTTAATACAGCTACTCCTAATGTACTTCTTCTAGCTTCCATACTAGGACAAGCTGTCCATGTATCTTTTAATGGATCATATACATCTACAGTTCTTACTCGCAATGATCCATTAAACCCACCTACAGCATAGACTGATCCATTTAATACTGCTACACCTAGAAAATAGACAGCGTATTTTTTATTATTTTGACATAGTATGCTCCCAGTTGCCTTTCTTAGGGGGAAGAGCCGTGGCATTTCTCTCATTAATTACAGTTTAATTCATGAGGCCAATTATTATCAACTTTTAAGTCAGATATGATTAAGGATAGGAAAAAGATCATGTACACATTCTACTAGTTAATATACAGCTCTTGATATATTGTTTCTTTTGATTACCTTTTGTTTGTTAATTCAATAAATAAATTCCAATAAATCAATAACTAGAGATTATTCTAAAAATTTAATATTATACAAAAATTTGTTTTCAGACACTTTTCAAAATCAAAGATAGCCTTGTGAAGCAAGGTGACATATTTCCACCAGCAGTACAAATCATTGTTTGTAGCCTGCAGAGTGACCACGAAACAAGTGTGAACGGAAGGACAGATGGACGACAATATGCTTCCATACTACATGTGGGCATATAAAAAGAATCCATAAAGAATTGTTGCTTGTAGAGTGAAAAAATCATCACGTAAATTGATAGGGATCATCTTCATAATGACATTGACCCACAAAATAAAAATCAAAAGAATCCACAAAGATGTTTCTCCTATAGAGTGAGCACGAGTTGCAAAATGCAGCTAATAGAGTGAAAACGCTAGGTCAGACATAATATTTCTCTCTTAAAAATTATCGGATCATCATGAAAATTGATAGCAATCATCTTCATAATGACATACAAGATAAAAATTGAAAGAATCCATAAAGAATTGTAGCCTGTAGAATGAGCATAAGCTAAATGTGAATGTACAGACCAGCCGGGCTATATATACCACATATATCGTGGGTGTATAAAAATGAGGTGTAGAGTCTTATAAGATAATATTGATACAGACCACAACGACATCTTCTAGTAGGCATCTCAGCTAACTGATACCATCGTTCTTCTTGAAAATCATAACATTCTACACTTCTTATAGCTTTAGGTGCTTGTCCACCTATCATTAATAATACCTACAAAATAATAATATATATCTAGTTGACCATGGTTATTTACCAGTATCATTTATCATGTCTATCTTATTTCATAGTAGAAGTGTCTGCAATCTATGGAATAAAACAAATTATTTTCGTTTGACCAAATCTTTACTAAAATGAACATAGATCAACAGCATTAGCAACCAAATACAAAACAACTTTGGCTTTCCTGCAACCATAATTTAAAAAAACATCACCAAAGATATTTATGAAGTTCTGGCACCTGTTTAGTGTAGCTTTTTAGAGTATTAACAAAGTTTTGATCATCTTTAGTAAATGATCAATTGTTGAATTAAAGATAATGGAGTTGTAATTTAACTATAATACATGTATTTGAATGTGACAAGTTGGAAGTTGGAACAGATATGGAAGTATTAATTAAACCCTTTCGATTATATTTAAAACATAATAAACATACTTTTGGTAAGCCTATGGGGTTTCTAGGTTGAGTTCTGGGTGTTTTAAATGAGACTTTTTGATCAGCTTTAAGTAAATGAAACTTCATAGCTTCTATAAGAAAATCTTTACAGATAGTATTAGATTTAACTAATGGTTCTTCTTCTACTCGTTGTACTAAATAATCTTGAGACATTAGAGGTAATCTAACATGTTCTATTAGTTGTGATATAATATCTTTTCTACTACCAATATCATGTTGTATCCACGACATTACACCTTCAAATACCTACAATAATGAATATATTTTTAATACAGCTTAATCACCGAAGTTCCAACTTTTCTTTACATTCATGTTGAAGAGGAATCTTTCAAGCTCATACAGTGTTTCAGGAATCAATTTTTATTCTTTAAGTCGATTAAATGAAATGTTAATTATCTAGCTACTACTGGTTGAAGAGAGGCTGAGCTTTTCAAATCCTCATAAATGGACAATGATCAATGATTGCCACTCTGAACGTGCTTCTTTGATCTTTGATCAAACAGCAAATCACAATTCTGCATTAAAACTAGTCTCAGTCGTAGATGGTATTTCTTAAATATCTATTATAATATATATTCCATGGCTTGAATACACTTAAGCTGGCTAATAACAAACCTGTTCTTCAGATGTTACTGTTAATCTATCACTAGATATTAATTTCTTCATCTGATTTTCATTTAATGATAAAAATTCATCATAATGAACAACCTCACTGAAAACAATATGAATTTTCTATACAGTTTACATCTATTGTCTTTCTCATTCATCCAAAAAAACATTTATATGTTACATTTCATATTACAGAAAGTCAATCCATCTATTAATTGATTTAACAATTGTGAATAAAATGGAAATTTTATTTAGAAATGGAAATTTGTTATTGATGCATACTTAAATTGTCAAGTATTACAATAAATTCATAATTTTTACCATAGATCAAAATATTGATCATATAATTCATATGTTTATCGGCTGGCCTAGATTTAATCCACTTACTTTTACCAGAAACCAATCAACGAATAACAGGTTCATATACTTACGTGAAATGTTGTTCAGAGTAGGTTTGAGCATAATTAAACAATTCAGAGCAGGCATGAACATCAGCAAAATCTCTAATACCAAGACAATTTGAGGGATGTAACTGAGCTTGAAGGAATTCACAACATGCATCTCTTACTTCTGTTAACTGTAGAATGTTGGCTGCTGGTAATAATGTCTGAAATAGGAAATATACTTGTTATTAGATACCATATACAAATAATTTGTTTTTATGGCAATTCTCTTAATGAAAATGTTTACAGTTTAAATCATCAACTTAATATTTTTATAATATAAGTGTTCCTAATACACATAGGTTAAAGATTCACTACGGAATTTCCTTACTTGGACATTTTCTTCTGTTACATGTATTTCAGACGTATAAACAAAATCTACTAATAATGATAAGGCTTTAGCATCTATTTCTTGTAAGGTAATTCTTTCAGCTTTTGATTCAAACATCTCTCCAGTAAACATAGCATAGAAATACTGACTGCATGATGACAAAACTGCTTTATGAGCTGAAATCTCTACAACATCAGCTACCAATATAACATCACATAATAAACTACACCTGAAATGTAACACAAAAAAAAATATAAGGACATGAATATTGATAGACTACTTAGTAATAAGGTGTAAGTAGTAAATGAAATGAAATGAATGGAGTTTTACGTCCTACTTATCTGCACCATGTGGGCTAATGAAGATGGAGGTGTAAATAGTAGTAGGTTCACATACACTACATCTAATTACCATGAAGATGATAAAACAACTAGAGTCGACCAAGTAACCCAAAATACACTTTTATAATTGCTCAATTTTATCCCTTCTATACAAAATATTCATATCAATTATCTTACTTTCTCATTTGATTTAAACAATCAAATGCTTTCTGTGTATGTTGAGGATGTTTATAAGCTGGTCTTTCTCTTCCAGAGATAATCTTTGGTCTTACATCCATTTTCAATATGACAGAAAAAGGAGTTCAGAACTAACACCTCTTAATCAGCTATTAGACCTATCTCTGAAATCATAAAGTACTTAAACTGAAATCTTTAATCATTAAATGTTCATTGACAACACTACATTTCTTATTTTCTAATTTCATAGTGGGTAACGAGGCAAAGGCCAGTTGAGATTACTTTTTGTTATGTTGACGGCACTTTAATCCATGTGTAGTAAAAAAAATTGAAAATCAAAATAAAAACTCTAATGTCAAATATGCGATGTCTAGGTAGAGGTAGCCAGGGTCTGGAATTTGTCCCCAAAGTTGATTGGTGCATGCACGAATTCTAAGAATTTTGAATTTTTGTAATGCACATGTCATGATGAGTAAACTGAAGTTCTGGTATTTAGTGAAAAAGAAGCTTGTCAAATAGTGAATAAGAAGCTTGACAAGTTCATGGCTAATTATCCACTACTGACTACGATATCAATATGAAATATTGACTATGATTATGATTCACGTCATTGCTAGAAAACCATGCAGGGAATTGAATATCTAATCATCTTTTTTGTTTGACTGGGTGCAGTCTACGTCTAGTTTTAGGTGCACTGCAGAGTAATCCTTCAAATGAAAAAATTGAAGTTTGGGTTGAGAGACTGCTGCTAGCATATTGTGTAATTATCAAAATTAATTCTCACCCTTGTCAACCAAATCTAATTGGTCAGCACTGGAAATGCCTGGGACACCATGAGTAAACAACATGTAGGTTAATCCTAACTTTAATATATATTCATCAAAAAAATAAATATTTTCTTTTTTTGGTATCAGCTACCGGAATCGAGTACTGCGCATGTTTTGTAGTGTTGCCAGATTGAGTTGTGACTGCTATTTGCACTTTCCTTACCTTACCTCTTTTTATATGCATTATGCATTGCACTGTATAATATTTCATCAAAGTTGATTTTATGTACCCTTATTTTGAAAACTTTATTTGATTTTAACAAAGATTAGTTTCACCCATCATTCAGATTGGTAAAATAATCTGGCAAATCTGCAAGCACCTGTCAACAAATAATTATCAAAACAGAGGCAACTTTCCCTCTTCAATTTCGAGTAACTTTTTCGGATAAAAATGAAGAGCAAAGATAAAATAATACAATGACAGTGTTGCAGGTATTATTTCAAATAAAAATCAATCCTTTGAAATTGTGATTGCTGAAACTTGAATTGATTTTTCATCGTAAAACAAATTTAAGTTTGTCGTTTTGTATCATGCATGATTGGGCTTGTTTAGTTTAAAATACAATAGACATTGTAGATCTAATAAATTTAAGAATTTAGTAACCCTGAAAGAAGTCAAAGTCAGAGTTAATTTGATGTATACCTTAGTTTACAATAACTAAGATTTGATGACGATAATGTTTCACCTATATTACAGTAGAACTAATTGCAATCCAAAGTCGAAATTATTAATTAAGGCATGACACACAATGCAAGTCCTTTCTGAGATATTGAAACCTTATAAAACTCATCGAAAAACCATCATGATCATGAAATATAACAAAACCATTATCCATGAAGAATCCTTGTAAAATGAAATTAGCCTATTTGTTGGACTTTGGCTATATCAACTACGGGTATTATATAATTGTCTGCTTCCAGCTAGATTTCTTTTCCCTGCAAACCTGGCTTACTGCATTATAATTCATAAGCTACCTTGATTTTGTTATTCATTATTCATTCACCGGAAATTCATTTCATTTGATACTTTTTATGACTGGAGTTTTTGTTGCTATTTCAACTATATATATATATAGGAATGAATAAGTTTTATACATAGGTATCTAAACTCTCAGACTAATGGCCTGTGTTTATGAGGTCTGCAATACTAAATATGCCAAACAACTACCAAAAAACAGAACGAAATTAAAAACTTCATGTAACCTTTTTAGAGTAGTTTTGGCGTTAAAAAAAATTAACGGCTGGATTTTTTTAGTTACAACTTTCAGATACGTGAAATTCTTTTGAACATTTCTCTTGATCTTGTTGGATAGTTTTTACAAATAAAAGCAAAAAAAAATTTGGACCTACAAGCGGAATGTCTCTTTAAAGGAGGGGGTAGTATTAAAAAAGTGTTCATATTAAGTCTACTTCTAAATCTCATTCATAAATTTATTTTATGGTATCCTGCAAATTTGTATCTCTTTTTTATTGGCATCATTGAGTGAGTACTGTAAATGAAAGATTGAAAGTTGTTTTATAATGATCATGAGTAAACATGCCTACTTTATGAATCACTGATTAATGCATATTGGCATGACCGAAAATTGTGTCAGTTATTATTACATTGATTGAAAACAAAACGAGTTCTACTGCTTGAATAACTTTATAATTAATGGAGATTTAACGAGCAGATCTATTTGTCAATACTTGGTAAAAAAATCTATAATAATGTTCATGACTGGGTAAGGTTATTGTTGATAAGGAACTATTGAATAGAATATCATATTGTTCAACCATAAATACCAAACTCGTCTTACTAGATTTGTGTTTAGAAAACTCCTGTCTATATTGAAATCAAGTATACTAGCTGTGATATTCATTCTTATGTTATATTGGATTAATCATATTTAGTGTGATAGGATTATATGTTATATTTCAAATCAGGAATATTTTAAAGTGAAGGTAGTATACTACTTTGCTATCAAGGTCGTAATGTCTTTGTTCCAATATTTTGGACTTCTGATATCTTTCATTTCTTTCATACTACCTCTCTTCATATATCTTTTGTCTTCTGTATGCAAATCTTAGAATTAACATTGATGTAATGTCATGAATATCATTAATGGCTCCATTAACGTTCGTTGTGTGAAATTGATTCCATTTGCTGTATAATCAAGACTTCTAGATAATGATGAGCAAGATTTACTGCAGAAACAAAAAAACTACTAGAGATCTTGCAAGAGATAATTTACATAGTACTTCTTCAATGATTCTCCATAAACAATTTTTTAGCTACTGACAGCTCTTATTGGAAAAAACATTTGATATCATGATCTGAACTACAGGATTTTAATAGTGGCTTGTTATAGATCATAAGTTTATTTAAAGCACTCTGCTGTTATCTGACTAACTTAAGTAGGCTTTGAATTTTCATTCTATTTATGCTACAAATGTGATCTGTCAGCTCGTATACTGCATGATTTTATGACTATATTTCTTTATATAGGCAGGGAACAATCTCTTTTTAAACGAAAATATTCAATTCCGAAGTTTTCTACTTATACATATGCATACAACACAGAACATCTAGGTTTCTAAATGAAAAGGGTAGTATGCAGCAGCAGTGTGTTAAAATTCTTCCACCTTCCTGTACACAGGATTATCAAATTTTACTTTCTGTTTTTTTTTCACTAATGACAAGAGGATGAGTGAGTCTTGTCTATGAAATTCATTTTCAGTCTGTTGTTACTTTCTTCTAGACTACAATATCAATATTTAAATTGATGCATGGTGCCAATTTGAAATGAGAGTGATTGAAATTGTTGTTATTGGAAGGGTTTTGGCAATTAATCTAATCATGAAATTCTGTCTTATAATTGTGGTTAAAGTGCCATCAGTTCACAATCTGACTTGATTCCTGCATGAAACTGTTCTGATAATTTAAACTGATATCAAGCATTCCATTCCTTCAAATAAACTGATCAAAGAAAGAATTATGTATTTATCAGGTCCCCGCAAACGATCATTAAAAAAAACTTCTTTGAATAATTGAATTAGACTAATTGTATTAAAAGGTTTGATATAATATAGTTAAGTTGTTTGTATTTAGACCCTCTTTTATCTATGGTCAATAGTAGATTTTATGGTATTTAAAGGAGTATTTATGTGAAATAGCACTAGCTTTATATTATATTATTATTCTATGATATTGAAGTATTTAGAAAAGACTATATAAGTAAAAGAGTATATATTTGAATAGTTGTTGAGAGTTATTGGTAATATAATATATTCTCTTTTATAACCTAGATAAGATCACCACATTAAATAATCATTGGAACATGTAACAACATGACTCTTTCTACAACCACCTAAATTCTTTTAAGACACCTCTATTGTTTTTGTCAATAAATATTTGTTGACGAATGTTTGTTGACCAATATTTGGAATTTTAAGAATATAATTACAATGTCAAATCATGTAGGTACAAAATATGATTGACCTTGAAAACTTTATAAGAAATTTCAAGAGAAATTGATGTGCAATAACATAAAGTTGTGTTGTAAAAAATACCTTACACAGTTTGAATTAATCCATCATTGTTCACAGCATGGCATGTCTTGTCTTTATTAGTCTAATTTGATACAAAAAGTAAGATGTATACTCTATAAAAGTTCATTGTTCATTCTCTGTTAGCTGATGTACACTCAGAGAATCTTCGACCTCCAATAGCATGAATTTCATCTATAAATATAATACAGGGAGCCTGATCTCTAGCATGATTATATTCATATATCTATCTTACCATCCTACTCATTAGTATTTATTCATTAACAAACAAAACAAACTATTAATTAGGGATTAAAAAGACCATGTTATCTTCGAAGTTTCAATATGTATTAATTTATAACTTTGTTATTGTGATATTTGGTTATGTAGGTGATAGATGTGGTTAATGTCCAATGTCTTATAATAGTTTCCAACAATTTCAGTCTATGAAAAAAACTGTGATTCCATTCACCAACTTATAAAAATGCCCATTTTTTTATGGAATATCGTCAAGTATCGATACATAATCTTGCGAACACGATTTTGCGATACCGATGTGTTGTGCCAGCACTAATTTCATTTACATGTATATTCTTTGAATTTACAGTTATAACTGATCTGAAAGATGTATTGATTTTGATAACATCGTGTTGTGATTTATTATTGATAGGTATATATTCACTGGGCCAACACATTACTACAAGAAATTAATAGGAGAATTGAAGGAACAGAGGAGATTCAAAAAGGAGAGGTTTTATCTGATTTAATTGGTATTTTGATCAATTCATCTATAACTGAAGATATACAGGTAAGACAATAATTTGATTCTCTTGGATGTTTTGTTGGCTTGGCAGATTATGTCATTCATTTCATGGAAACTAGTCTTCAAATGCATGATTGTTGAAAGAGCAACTGTGGCACAGTGTGTTAATTTATGGCTTGATAACTAAGGGTTTTAACATATTGAGATGACATAATTGTAGTCTACTTGTCATGATAGATTATAGTAACCAATAAGAAGCTATGTTAATGATTAATCTAGTTAACAGTAATTGATGACTGATAAGATTGGATTCTGATTTGACTGTACTCACTGTAATTAATTATAATCCATTAGTACAATCTACAAATCTTTACAGTGTGTAATCTATGTAAGGCTTGTATTATTATTATTATTACAGGGCAAACAAAATGTTGATCCTCAAACATATGTGCAGGCTGCTTTGGATCATATGAAGTCAAATGGAATCAAACCAAATTTTACTGCTCAAGGTTTGTTTCTACTTTGTATTTTGAAACTGACATCATCAGTATATTTCATCTATTTTGTGGAATATTTGAAATTATAAGAGAAATGACTGAGCTGTCAATGAGTTGAATTTATAAAACAAAATGGATCTTTAACTGTATTGTGTGAAAATGGATCTATTTTGTGAAGCTTTTGAAAATATAAGAAATGTTAGGACTTTGAAAAGTTTTTCATTTACAATAACAGAACTGTGCAAGGGTTAAATTTATAAAACGAATGGATATTTAACTGTCATATAATGTGTGAAAATGTGTTTACTGAAATTGGTGTTTGCAAAATGGTGGTGTGGCTTGTAAGGCAGGGTATGCTTGCTATTCTGAAACATCTAATGTCACTCTGAGATTACGTTTGGCGACTTGACATCTTATAATACTGAAACTCAACATTTTTGGCGTATTAATTTCAGAGCAAGATTTTAGGAATTTCATTGAATTAAAATTTTTGCTCTTTCCTTTTGGAATAGATTTGATCAAAGGTAACTGAATAGTTAGTTTAGTAAATTAATTGAAGATAGTATATATATATATATTTGGTATATATTTTGTAGATATAATTGATGGAGATATTAAGTCTATATTAGATTGTTTATGGCAACTTATCTTACACTATTGTGTACATGATATTAGTAAGTATAATTTATTTTAAGATAGCATACTTATAAAACTACAACCACAGCACAACTGATATATTGTATTTCATTGCATTGCAATTTAAATAACAATTTTCTCCACATAATTAAATACATCATACACGTTAAATTTTCTTGTAACTTTGCATTAGTAGTATAAAATCAGATCAATTGGCCAACAGACCAGCTTTATATACATAAGCAATAAGCATAAGGTAAAATTGTTTAACATAATCAAAAGAGAATTCTGGCTTCAGTTCAGATGTGATGTCAGTTGACAAAGCGCAAAGATTTCTGTAGATTTTAATTTTGCTATATTTTAGATCATAATATATTTAGAAGAACTGTTGGAATTGGTAAAAGAAATCTGTTAGATTGGTGTCAGAAACCGTTGAATACATTTTTTGATGGAAGAAATACATTAGCAAACAAGTAGGTAGAGATTTTCTCAAAACATAAAGTAAATAATCAATTTAATGGATAGGTTCTGATGAGGAGCTTTCTTTGCCTGTCATTTATCTGAAAGGAGTTGATATTGACAAAAAAGTTCTAAATTCTGAATTATTACAGTTCAAACAATATACTTTAAAAACAGAAAATCAAAAAGTGCATTAATGATATCATAAATTGAAATTTCATTAGACTTTTGATGGTTTCTTCACAAATTAATTGAAGTATTAGTAATCAAATTATTGTAAACTTGAATCATCTTTGAATCACTATGTAATTTGTTTTCTAGTTTATGTGCTGATAATTGGTTTATATTATTACTAGAGAAATTTACAGATTTACTCTCTAAAGATGAGGTATTATAACTCTTCAGTCATTTCATATTATCTACACACAAGTCCTTTATTAAATAATTAGAGATCATCTCATGCTGCTGAAACATACTATGGATGCACTTTCCTCATTAGGAAAACTGGATTTAGAATGGAAGGTCACTTTTAAATATTGGACTTAAACTGAAGGAACAGAGAAAGAAAATCATCAAAAAGAAATAACAAATATGTATTGTTGTTCCCTTATGATGCAATTTGTGTTCCTTGGTATGCTATGCTATAAAAAAGACAAAAAGAATTGAAATAAGCAATCAGAAAGTTCTTTCAAATGATTTACTATTTATTACAGGATAAAGTTACATATCTCAGTAATTTATTAAGAGATATAGAAGTAAAATATGGTATTAGTAAAGATATTTTAATGTAAGTAATGGATTAACCTTCCATATTCCTTAATCTTTTAATCCTCTTACTTTCTACGGAATGGAAAGAAATTGGCCATTCTCAGTTTAACTATGGTTAAATTTACTTTAAATCTATTGTATCTTTGATACTGCCTTCAGGGTAGAGTAGACTTTTCAATCTTGATCATTATTATAACTTACTGTTGTAATTTAGGTTAATAAATATGTGGTCTAAAATCTTTTTTACGCCTTGGTTCAAAAATCATTTACTCACAGCAATTAATGCATTCACTTTTCATTGATTTTACTTGTCTATTGGGTCTATCTAAAGTTGAAAGAGGATTGAATTTGTGTAATTAATGCAGACCTAATGATATTATAGTGGATAAAATGGCACATCATATTAATTTCATCATTAATTGTATATATATAATGTACATATTTTATATCTTCAGACCTTGTGATGTTTTAGATGGTACAGTTGATGAGCATTCTTTAATGATATATATTTCACTCTTAAGAAGAAAGGTATAGCCTATCATATCATCTTATATCACATGAAAATATCTTCATTATGATTCCACCAGGACTATTCCACATTAATTAAATTTCAAATAGTTGTGCAATTGAAAGTATATAAAAAATGACTTCAAAATAACAATATAAATTCAAAAAAGAAATATTTTGATAATAGACTTGATGCTTTATCTCATTGTTGAGCCACTGTAGTTGTGTGTTTGATTTTCCTTCAAAATATTGATGACTTTTTTCCAATTTTTTTTCCAATTTTAGACGGAAGGCAGAATATTTAACACAGAACCTGAACAACAACAAAAACAATATACTCTTAGTAACGATACTAAGGTAAGAAAATTCAGTATGTAATACTCACATAAATAAGACTCATTTGTTTTTTTGGAAACAGCAGCATGAAAGGTATGTTCTGGATGATATGGCATTATGGAACTCTGCCTTCCTTAAGATGCTTTGGATAAGGAATAGAATGCCTGCTTTAGCTCTATGATGTTCTCAGTATTAAGACTAGAATGCTTTCTATAGCTCATTAAAGTGCTTTAGAGTAGGACTGGAATACCTTTTTAAGTTCATTAAGGTGTAGGGATTAAAATCTGGATGTTTTTGTTAACTATGAGGTGCAGGGGATTAGATCCTGGTTGCCCTTTGTGATTTGATAAGAAAATCTTATTGTGGTTTGCTGTGATGCCTCTTCCCCTTGCATTTTTTTATCTTTCAATTAAAGTTGTGTCCCTTTAATAACTTTTCTATAATGAACTATTTTGTTTCAGATTGAAGAATTAAGTGATAATCAATCATTAACAGAAGAGAAGACAGTTCCTGAAGATTCTAAAATGACAGAAACAACCACACAGATTAAAACAGAATATGATACAGATTTTATAGATGGTACTCATTATAAACCTGTGTATCGTAAAGAAGAAGAGAAAGCTATCATATTGAAACGACCTACTGATTACTATAACCAATGGGAGAAGAATATTGATCGTTTATCACAAGGACCTGAAACAACATCTATAATAACAGATAGTAACACTACACCAGAAGATATCCTACTAAATATTGATGATTTTAATGACAGTTTTGATAAATCACGTTCCCATTCTGAAAAATTATATAAACCAGACTTCAGTAATGATGATAAAAATAGTGATAGTTTGAGAAGTGAATCCAGAAGTCCAACTCGAATCATTGATAGATATCAAACAAGACGAGAATACAGACACAGTCCTGAACCTAGATCTAGAAATCAAACTCCAGACTCTGGTAATGATACATCATCTGAGAGGAAGTCTAGAAGCAATGTGAAGTTTCATGGTAGAAGAGATGATAGATCACCAAGTCCTGAAGCTTTTAGTCATTTTGATGAGTTAAAACTTGCTCGAAAAGATGTAGATAGAACTATGCCTAAAGGGGAATTACATAAACGTTCTAGATCAGATGAAAGACATTATAAACTTGATGACCAAATTAGTGAAAGAACCAAAGCCTTACGTCTCAGAGCTTCACAATCTTTAGGACGTGAAAATCGTATACGTAAACGAAATGAAGAAATGCAGGCCTATAATAATAATATAACTGATGAAATGATCAAGAGTAATTTAGGATTTAAAAGTGATCCAGTCAATGTTATCACTCCATTACGTCATATTGGTAGTGCTGAACGAATTTATAAGGATGAAGACTCAACATTCATTAAATTGTTAGATGTTCAACGAAATCGACCTCTACCATATGAACTAGGATCAGCTAGAATTCCTAGAAGAGAAGCTTGGGAGGGAAGAAAGAGCTACAGTTATGATGATCTATTAGATGATGAGAGGGACATTGGAGGTCATAGAGAGTTCCTAGGTTCATTGGACAGAGAAATTGATCAGATTGATGATAGTATTGAAAGTTTAGATAGATCACGAAGACTACCAAGAATTTCATCCTTGAGTGATGTAAATGATAAATTATGGTCACAAGAATTTCGAGACATTAGCAGTATCAGTAATCCATATCACTCTACCTATAACATACATGATGATAATAGACATTTATCTCTAGAAACATACAGAAGTCGATCCCTGAGTCCACGATCCAGAATACCATTATCTACCTACCCTCCAGCGTATACCAGACCTAGGTCATCACTGGGTATCTGTCAACCCAATTATAGATCTAACTTTAATTATGAAGAAATTGGATTGGAGGATGGAAAATATCGCCATGAACCACTTGGTAGATTTGATGTTCGTACTAATTATTATAATCCTGATTATAACTCACATACAGAAATAGAAACAAGTTATGTATCTCGAGCTACATCTATGTCCCCGACTCGCCATCAAACTATTGATCTAGGGTACTCCAGTCCAGTTCGAAGAGTCAATGATGAAATTTGGGGATCAGAAGTAGCTGAAACTGATGGTTTTGATCCAAATAGACAAGAGAAATGGAAACATTTGATTAACCTTACTGATATGACTAATGAAGATGTTATAGAATTAAAACAAGCCCTGGCTAGTGCTATTGTAGAAAATGATATTTTATATGCCAAATTAACCAATGCTAAGAAAGAGTTTTCTGAAAAGTTGATGAAAACTACTGAAGTACTTGATGATTGCCGAAAACATTTAGCTACTGCCCAAGCTGAAAATCAGGAATTACGAACATTTTTAAATCAAGAAAAACGGATCAATGCTGCTCTGGAAGCAAAAGTTAAGGAACTAGAAGAACAGTTGAATATTTCAGAAACTAACTACAATCAATTGGAGATTAAACTTGAAGATGCTCTGAGAGAAGTAGAACAGTTAAGAGGAGAATTAAATGAATTAGAGGATTGTGAATTGGAGAATGAACAGTTGACAAATAAAGTAACAACATTGGAAAGAAACAATAAAGCTTTATCTGAGGTAAGTGGTTATTTTTTGATTATTTTACCTGTCATTGCTTATTTGTACAATTGTAGATTAGTCGCAAGGGTACAGTTAGTGAAATACCAACAAGATATTCTCCTGTATATGAAAAATAATATTAAAAAAAAATTCCAATGCTCTTCTTAGAGGGTGAGTAGTATTCTCAAATATTCTAGAGTAGTGAAGGGTTGGTTGTTTATTGCATAATATTAATTTTTTAATATATTTTGATAATGTATTTCAGGATTTAAGTAAAATGCAAGAAACTCATGAGAAGTCTCAAACAACAATTCGAGAAATAAGAAAATGTCTAGAAGAGGTACGTAATGAAAGACATGAGTTACAAGATGAAGTATCCAGATTAAAGTATAAAGAAAGATATACACCAACTGTGCCAGAACCTTCCATTAACAGATATACTGAGAGAATTCTAGAACATGATATAGAGAAACCTTCCACTCCTATTAGAACATTTAAACCAATAATAGAGACCCCAGTATCATCTCCAGTACAATCTATCTCAACAACATACTCTGAGAGACAGACCACAATACCTGATAGACAGACAACTATACCAACTAGACAGCCTGATAGACAGATTTTTATTCCCAGTAGACATACAGCATCACTTGATAGACAAACAACATCTACAAGACGGAGAACTGTACCAACTAGACACATAGGTACATCTCCAATTAGACATACTTCTCCAATTAGACATACTTCTCCAATAAGACATACTTCTCCGATAAGACATACTTCTCCAATTAGACATACGTCCCCGCCTAGATATACGTCCCCGCCTAGATATACATCCCCGCCTAGATATACTTCCCCAATTCGCAGGACTTCTCCAATAAGACATACGTCTCCAATTCGAAGGACATCTCCTATCCGTCAGTCATATATCTCACCGACAAGATTATCTACCATCCCGTCGTCAAGATTTGCCACCAGTGATAGTACATCAAAATTCTCCTCTTCTAAGATTGACAGAGATAGTTACAGAAGTGAGGGAAAATTTACAGAAAAGAAATTTACAGATTATCCTGTGAGAGATACATATAGTAGTTCCAGTATTAATAAAACAAAGGGATCAACCTCCGTACCAATCAGTTACACTTCAAGAACCACATCGCCTCCTAGAGAGTACACACATAGAACAACATCTCCAATACGTACCTTCTCTCCAACTAGATCTGTATCAGAAGGTAGAAATAGTAGATATTCTACCTTTAATACGACTCATAATTACAAACCTTCAACAACCACCACCCGATATACACAACGATCTACCAGTCCCTTTAAATATTCTGATATCACTGTGCCTTCAAACTATAGAGAAATCTATCCACATCGAAAGTCCCGTTACTCTGCAGAACGAAGTAGTTTTAACAGCTCGAGGGATTATGAAAGTAGGAAGAGTACCACAACTACTAATAAATTTACAGATTATCCTGATCTAAAACATTATCCCTCTAGATTACGATTTGATGATGATAATATTAGACAAAAGGATACAACACCTAACAAATCAACATCACAATATGCAGAAAACTTCCATGATGAATCTGGTGATGAAGAATATGAGTATAAGTACACTCGTAAAGTTACTACTGAGACAACCAATAACCAGTCTTCTTACAATGATGAAACATCTAAACCTTTCACAGAACATATCAGTAGAAGAGATAGAACCTTTGGTGAACCAGCCTTTCATTCAAGAATAAGAAGCAGAAGTCAAAGTCCCTTCTCTGCCAGAACAACTCTACATAATGAAGATTTCAATCGGGAACTAAATTCTGTATTTAATAGACATGATAGTATCAGAGCAAGAAGTACCAGTCCAGCTAGGTTTCCTAGAAGAGGTATATTGAAGAATGCTAGAAGTGATCAGAATATTAATCTTAGTGGTAGAAGTGTCAGTCCTGTACCATTCTCTTCATACAGACATAACAGTGCAGCATCTAGATTTTCTACAAGTGATAACAAGACTAAAGTTCGTATAACTCCTAGCAGTACCTCAGATTATAGTAGAAGTGTTATATCTTCTAATTCTACAGCTGTAGCACCAAATACTAAATACCAGATAGAAATGTAAGTATATATTAAAAAAGATATAATTGAGACACATTCTTACAATCCTTTTGCATGAATTAAATATGAATACATGAATTTAAGCACAACAGGTTTTTTATATATAGAAATATTATATTCTTATCTAACTTAAACATATTTTAATGTTATAAATTCTACAATTGGGATTCAAAATAGCTAAATTATATTCATACCATATTCAATTATTATTGTTATTTTAAGACAAGTGCTTCTAAGCACTGTAGAGCTCTCAAATTCAATCTTGATCTAAATTTTATGATAAATATGGATACAAACCAGTTTATTTATTCAAATTAAATATAAACTGTAGATTTTAGCAGCAAGGAATGCACACTGTCAATAATATACATAGTTGTAGGTTTGTAACTCAGGAGTATTATTTAAATAGTATATGCATACCACATAAGTATAGTATATGTATAAAAATAAATTTTTGATAAAACTTTGAGGAAATAATGTATTATTTTGATGTTGATTAGTGATGGTGATTTAAATGTTATGGTCAATGGGAAAGTAAATGTTGTTACTAATGACAACATTCGGTAAGTTAAACTAGGTACTGTGTCAAAATGATCCCCATATATTTTATGCTTCATTTTTGAACTACAGTCTCTTACTAATAGTATTAGTAATAGTAATATTTTACAGTATAGAGCTTTTCTTCTAACATTTTCTCTTTGATTAACAGAAAATAATGGTCATTAAAGCTTATCTTAGAGCTTAACATTTTAATGAAGACCACAGTATAATCTTACCTACTTATTTCTAGGGTGAATTCCACAAATGAATATTAGTTATATCTATAGTATTATATTTTTAAATTTCTGATATTTGTCAGTAGTTTATATGTTCTTGGTAACTCTGGTATAGTATAGCTTTAGAAAGTCTGTTATCTTGTGAAATTAGTTTTAATTATACTGTGGTCTGTGGCTCTGTCTTACATGCTAGTTTATAGTTGAATGATCTTCAACCTGCTGTTGTTTCATTTAATGTTTGATACAGTTTTGTTTTATTTCACGTTACATAAAATTTCAAACTATTTTGAAAAACCTATGGAATAAAATGGGTGGTTTGACTCTAGAACTCAATTGTTGCTTGCATGATTTAAACTTTATTTTACTTCTATTCTTCAATGTGATATTCTGTAATCTGTACATTAAATATTAAGTACTATTACAAACTAGCAGGTTAATAATAACTGGAAGGCCATACTATTTCTGAAATCAGTTCTTTTACTTTAAGCTCTTGAGCTCGTCAGCAGCTCTAAGTTCTCTGGCAAGACAAGATATGCCTAAGCTAACGTTGTATCTGTCAACTAAGTCAGCTAAGCTTAAAGTTCTCATTTGTTTTTTTCTTTTTCTCAAATATATAAGTGTTCTTATTCACATTGGTCGATGCAACGTATTAAGATTTATCTACATTTTATATACTTGATATACTTTCTATTGATTCCACATGTTCTCTGAGAAATTTAACAGTATGCACAGAAACACATTCTATAATATATATCTTATCTGTATTTACAGTAACACCCCACCACCATTAAGTGATGAACAGAGAAGCTATGCTAATCACCTGATAGAGAAATATACCAAACCAAGCTGTAGTCTTCGGACCATTAATATATAGTTTAAACATTAATAGTCTTGTATTTATTTATTTATAATCTGTGATTTTTATTCCATCCATTTGTTTATTGTTAATATTGTTGAGTTTTGAAAAAGACACATTCCGTCCTTTATTAAGTAATGCTAGTTTTTAAAAATTTAAGTATTGTATTATATAGATTTTTGAATTATATTAGTCTCTTTTCTCTTTATGTTATATTTTTTGTATTTTAAGTATTAGTATTTTTATTGTTATTACATGTTATTTGGATTAGGCTAATGTCTATTCAATATTTTGATGTATAAGTTATGTAAAACTTGTCAGGGTTACAATTATGTGATATTCAAAATTCAATTTTTAATTGCTTTATTTCATATTAGAAGTTTCCTTGATATTTATTTTCTATATAATTAGTTATTTATAAATATTTCTTTTATTCAAAGAATTTATATCTAGATATCTAAAATACAGTTAACTTAAATTGTGTTAAGATGTTATTACATGTGAATCTATACACATTTAATGGAACTGTTTTGAATTTTATTAGGTAGAATAAGAAATAGGTTTTATTTTTTGTTTTTTTTTATTGAGATATGTCTTGTTTCTTTTTTATTGAGATCTGTCTCGTTTCTACTTATGGAGAGATGTCTTGTATCTTTAGAAACATATATATTTGATAGCTTGTTTCTTTAGAAACAGATATATTGGATAGCTTGTTTCTTTAGAAACAGATATATTGGATAGCTTGTTTCTTTTGAGACAGATATATCTGTTAAAATGTTCTCCTTTTGTAAGCATGTTCCTTTGTGATACATATAATAGTCTTGTTCTTTGAATTAGATATATCTGTTGTCTTGTTCATTTTGTTATAGATATACTTGAAAGCTTGTCCCTTTTGAAAGAAGCATTTGATAGTTCCCTTTTAATAAGGGATATTATCTGATATACACTAGTTTTCCTCTAACAAATGTTTTTGCTCTTTATAAATTGAAATAAATTTGTTAGATTTATCTGATATGAACTTGTTCTTCTTCAAAAGAGATATATCTGATATACAGTAGTTCTCCTTAAATAAACTTAATCTCCTTTATTAAAGATAGATTTGATATACTCTAGTTCTCCTTTAATGAACATAATCTTCTTTATTATTGATAAAAGCTTGTTCGCTAATAATAGAGATATATCTGATATACACTAGTTCTTTTTTAATGAACATAATCTTCTTTATTAGAGATATATTTGATATACACTAGTTCTCCTTTAACAAAATTGTTCTCTAATAATAGAGATGTAACTGATATAAACTTCAAAATATATATTGATATATCTGATATACACTTAATCTCCTTTATTCGAGATACTAGTTCTCCTTTTACAAAACTTGTTCTCCAATAGTAGAGATATATTTAATATAAATCAATATATCATATACACTATTTCTCCTTTAATATAGATAAACATGATCTTTAATAGAGATATATTTGATATAAATTTGTTCTCTAATAATAGAGCTAAATCTATTAAAACCTTTTTTTTTTAACTTTGATAGAAATAATGCAGATTAACATGGCTAGAGCTGTCAATTTTACTAGAATATTATATCTGAAAGTAGTTGGTTCTTTTATTGAAATGGATCGGGTAGTAAATATCTTTATCAAAGTGAATCTTTTTTAATGGCTTAAATGAGAAACTGGATTAACCAGACGAAAAAGTATAATTGTTGTATTCAAGCATTTGAATTTAAACATCCAATTATATTCAGGGTAAAAACACACCTCAATTCGCGAATGAACTCTTCTAAGCCTACATATGACAATGCAATACTTTGATTGCAAATATACTTGTGTGGAGAGTCACATTTATGGCATAAAGGGCGCTATATATACCTCTCTTACACTGACTCGATTTACAGCAAGACATTCAAGAAGTGCCTTTGAAATACCACTTTTCAGATTTTACTATACAGATTTCTGACATTCATTGTTACAGTTTAAAATTTTGTTTTGTTAATTTGGAAAGCTTGTGAATAAGTTAAAACTATAAGAAACTAATTAAGAAGTAGTTTTAGTAAATTATCTGTGATATTCACTTAGCCATAGGCCTATTTTTCCCCAAATATGTATGCTTCATTTCTGATAATAAAATGATCTTAATATGTCAGTTTTAGTCGAATTTCATGATTTCTTTAAGTTTTATGCATAGTTGACATCATTGGTTCTTTTTTTGTATCATGGAAATTTTTCGCATGCAACAGTTTGATTGGATTGTATGTTACCAGATACAACCAATCCGAGCGCTCGACCGAAAGTTAAAACCTTAAAGATTAAAGTCTTTATACAAGAACCCTGATTGGCTGTATTCCCTAGCATACAATCCAATCAAATTGCTGTAATCCATGATACAAGTAAATAGTCCATTGAAGTTAAGATATTAGACGCAGTTAGTTAGGTTTTTAAGAAACAGTAGGTGAGGTGGCCAAGCAAGGGCTAAAAAATTTTCCATGGAGGCACATACAATCATGTCACCAGACCATCTTGTGAATCTACTAATTGTAATCAGAAACATGATCATAACTGGCTATAGGGCAGTCATCAAGTAGGCCTACCTGCAACTGAAAGAGCTAACTCAAACACAGATACATGCTGGCTTTATCTCTTATTCCCCGTCCACTATAACGAGAGAACCTTAATGATAACTTGTGTACAGTAGAAAGCCTTTAAAAGCATTCACTCCGGAAAACATTACTCGGATGTATGATTTGATGATGGCGATTGACCACTTGACATATTATGTTGTGGGCATCTCTCATGAGAGAGGGTAGAGTACATTACAATACCAATTAATTAGGAATGACAAAAGTTTCTGCAAGATGAATGCCAAATCTACTGTGAGTGGATCACAACATACAGTCGAGTAACCTAATTTCGTGGAAACCTATTATTCGTGGATTTTCGGAAATGATTAACAATTTACGTGAGCGACCTTGCGCGACCTCCGCATTAGTTTGTTTTAATAAACATGGGTTTTCTGTACAATATCAGCTAGTAGAATGAATCCAATAGTTGCAAGCAAGGTAAAATGTATTAATGTATACTTTGAAAAATACAAAATGGCGGATTTCACTTATTACCAAACGTCACCATTTTTTATCGGCCGAATTTCATTATAATCCCGAGCGGTAATCGGAATTCCAAATGTCGTCTGCTCGAATATAATCCAACGAATGAAGTCACGTGATCAACTAGCGGATTCCATGTCAGCAGAAAATTTCTATGGAACACAAAGTGGACCATATTCTTATGTTGTTTCAGTGACTTTTAGCAATAAATCACGCTACGTATCAGTCACTACTTTTTTTTTTAAATCGTGGTTTTTTGAATGAATTGTCACTAGTTATAATGAATTGATATTAAAGATAAATACTAAGTTAATTATACCACCCGGTATCCATACAACCTGTTTATCTAGACTTATTTATAGATCAAACATTGTACACGAAAATAGGTGACGCATTCTGCCGCCGTTCCCGAGTTGATTGCTCATGAAATATGGGTCAAAGTGAAGGATTCATTAAGAAAATCGAAAGAAACCAATTTGTATTATTTTGTAGAATATCTGAGGAAACATCTAAGACATAAAATTTTTTTTTCGTTTTTTTAACTTTGACGAAATTCGGTGTTGAATCCTTATATCCACGAAAATAGGTTACACCACTGTATAAGATTTCTGATGTTCAGTGACAATTTATGCCATTTTAAAACAGATCAAGATGATTTTTTTGGCCCGATTTGTAACCATGGATTAGATAGACATAGATTCATCACTTTTACAGGAACCAAAATTCAGTCTAAATAATCGAAGCATCCAGGAGATTCAGCGCCCAAAAGGTCCAGGTAAATTCCTTCTATTGGATAGTTTATGGCTTCAGTGTTTTCGGATTCCAAGGAGTATTCTGTTTATGGACTACATGAAGAGGCCAGACTTTCAATTGAAGATATGATAACCTACTAAGACAGTTGTGTGAAGGTATCAAAGTAAGGCATGGGGTATACTCACTTGTGGAGTCTTCTTTCAGTTCACCAAGACAATGCTCTTGTTCACAAATCGGTGGTTGTCGTGTCTGCTTTCTATGGTTTCGATCGTATTGACCATCCCCCTTATTGACCAGATTCCCACCTATTTCCCACAATGAAAAAGGAACGAGATCTTGAATGAATTCCATCTTATTTATTGATGGATAAACAACCATGAAAATTGCTGCTATGTTTCACTGGCGTTTGTAGGAAACATTATCCTAGGTGAGGGGGCAAGTAGGGGCCACGTCATTTTCCAAGGGGGGTCACAGGTAATTCTGTCACTATGTGGGGAGGGTTGCAAAACGGGACCAGCTTCTTTACTGCCACCTTAAACCCCTGGTAAAGGCTTAACTGATATTTTAAGATATGGGCCTACTGCTATGCTTCTCTTGAGGCTTTGAGACAATGACGTAAACTTAATTACGTCATTAAGATGATTTCATGGAAACCGTGGCACATCCCGATAAAAAAAAGGAGAAAAACATCACAAATTCAATGCTACACACTTAATGGATCTCATCTAAAAAAAAAATGAGTAACAAAGCGAAGGTAGAAAGCAGTTACATTGGGAGAACATATTCAAGGTCCAGATCAACGATAACATTGTCGAGCTATGCTGATTCTGTGAAACTAACAGTAGAAAAAGATGGCAAACTGGCATGGCTGGCCTGTTTCTGTGCCTTTGTGGATCAAGTATTTGTATGTGGACTAATGGTGATATTTGGCGTGTTTTTTGTAGAATTTGTGCGAGATTTTAATTCTACAAGATCACAAGCTGGTAAGCATAATATGGTAGAAAAGAAGAGAGAAACTTATAGTCGTAGACAGTGTCGTTTCTATGGGGGTCAGGGCCATACCCCCCCCCCCCCCCCCAAAAAGAGGCTGACCCGGGGTTGGCACCTACTTTCAAATTTTTTATCATTTTGCATAAGAATGACTTGCAAATGCCCTGGAAATTTCGCGGCCCCTGATCGGCCCCCTCACCTGGTTTTTCCTAGAACCGCCACTGGTAGGTCTAGTATTCCTATAGCACTAGTTATCCTATAGCCTAGCCTCGGTAGACCTTTTATCTGTACGTTGTTTGATCCTCGGTATCTACTAAAATTGTCATTGAATCACCTTTAAGATACCGCTCCTGTACACTGCATAGCTTACATTGGGTTGTCTTTACTTCAGTTCATAGCCTACCTTTTAAGTATTTTAAACGAAACTTTCTCTTTTAATTTTCAGCATGGTTAGGCGCTTTAGCATATGGTATAATGAAACTTTTTGGACCAATAACTGGTTTGTTTGTGATGCGGTTTAACAACCGAGCTGCTCTGATGCTTGGGTGTTTTCTTTGCTCTGTCTCGACTCTTGTTTCGTCTTTTATAGTCTCGATGGAAGTTTTGTATGTTACATATTCTGTTATGTATGGAATTGGAGCTAGTCTTGTAATCAACTGTGTCATGGTTTTAGCTAATTCCTATTTTGATAAACATTTGGGTTTTGCAACCGGTTTGGTTTGTTCCGGGAGTAGTATTGGAGCATTAGTACTGGCTCCATTGTCTCACTTTATAATACAGACATTTGGATGGAGGATGGCATTTCGTTTTTTTTCTGCAACATTTGTTTGCGTTGGATTTTTAAATTGTTGTGTCAAACCAATAAAGAGAAAGAGAAAGGGAGACTATGAACAAGATAAAAACAATACGATCGAAAATGAAATGTCGTTTGAGGCTAAGGTGTCTAAACGTCCGTCTTTGTTCAGAAACAGAGCCTTTATTTTATGGGTGATTGGTACAGCATTCGGAATGTTTGGATATTTAGTACCATTTGTGCATTTAGTAAGTATATTTTTATAATCAGGATCACAATATAACCTTTGAGATATTTGAAAGTTTCATTTTTAGCCGTTCGGGTTACATATGGCTGGTTACAAGAAGATTTGTTTTTATTATTAGGTTTTATATACATGTTCGTTGTTCTTGTAGGTATCGTATGGTGTTACTAATGGAATACCAGTATCTAAGTGTACGTATTTTGTAATGGTATTAAGTGGTGCCACGACAATTGGGAGATTGGTATCAGGTCGCATTGTCCAAAAAGGTTACTTAAATAGTTTACACTTCATTCAATTGTGTATGATTGTTATTGGAGTACTCTTTATGATTCTGCCTACTATCACTAGCTTTGCAGGACTACTACCGTTTATCGCCTTTCTTGGTTTAGTCGATGGTTGTTATGTTGTTTTGTTACCAATGGTTACCTGTTCATTGGTTGATTATAATGATGCCATATTAGCCTGGGGAATGTTAGCAGGTACTTGCTCTCTGTCTGTCACCATAGGACCTCCTGCTGCTGGTGAGTACCATTGATTGGTAGGCTATACATCGACTATGGAGTAAAAATATATACTTACATACCTATAGGAAATTGTGTAAAATATAAGGTCAGATAGTATGATGCTCTGAATCAAGTTTTCCCTTAGCTTAATAAGTTCAAGTTCTTTTATGATGAACCAAATTTGTTACACCAAAAGCTTATATATTGTTTTCTTACAGGTGCCTTATTTGATATATACGGTAATTATAATATCGCGTTCCATGCTGCTGGGGCTCCTGTTATCTGTGGTGCTCTAATACTTTTCTTCATACCATGGGCAAAGAAAACATCACCATCATCGACAAACACTTTAAACTTTGATAAATCTGCTGAAAATGTCATCGATTCGGGAAAAGGTAGTGATGAAAGGTTACATGGAGAGGCATCAGAAGAAACTCTTCAACTTAACTATTTAAGAGATAGAGGTTATTTTTTACCATCAGGCAAGGTGAATTCAAATGTCCAATATTATTTAGATACTCATCTGAGCAGCAAATTTGATCCTACGGCCAGCACATCATTTAACGAATACCAGAATTCTATCAGAAGTTACCCGATTGATATGCAATCGGAATCATCAGGGGTATCACTAGCTTTGGTCTCTGGACCTGACGGTATGCCTATATCTGTACCATCATCTATTCTGGTAAGGATTCCATAATTTTCATAACATTACGTTAAGTTGAATTTCAAAGAGAATTTTTGTTGTTGAAATAACTTCCCATAACTAAGTTGCATCAAGTTTTTTTCCGAGATTGTATGTGCTTCCTCGTCCCATCTTCACAATGCCAATCTATTACGAACTTCGTCTTATACTTTGATTGGAATTGCCTAGCCATCTTTTTTCCTTGTTCCACAATGAAAGAATTTGATTGGATTGAATACAGTCAATAAGAACCCTTGACATAAAGACTGTAAAGATTCTGGCCTATTGTTTAAGACTTTCTTTAGAGCTGATTAGCTGGCTGCATCTACAAACTTTTGTCACACAAGAAAGGTGGCTATTGCAGTCAAGTCGAAGTCTCGATATGCTCGCCCTGACAAGTACTTTTTCATTAACTCTGTTCATCTGTCTGCTGTTGTATATCGATTCCCAATTTCTGCTGTGTTTTTTTTTTTAGTTTTCTTTTCTTTTAGGTACCACATTCTAGATCCACTACAAAATCGTCTTCAACAAGGATTAGTGGGTCGTCCCAAAAACGTCCCAAAACACCAAAGTATGTTGATGCTGGAACCCAATTTGGTGGGATTAAAGATACAGTGTCGGAAGTTTGTAGAGAATTACAATCAACGCAGCATAGTGATTGGTCGATTAGAAATGGCGCTACCCCCACATCTGGAGCAAACTCATGTGTCGATAACAAGGCTGCAGAGCAGAAATCTTCTTGTGTACAAACAGATAACAGCGTAAAATCTGGATTGTTATCTGTTACTTCCATAAAGGAAGGTGAAGATCAAGATGTATTTAAGAACATATTTAAAGATACGAGTGATACAAGTGTTTGATCTATTGGCAGATTTAGGTTTGACTGTAGACCCCTAGTTTTTTGTAAATGTTTTCCACCTTTAATTTTACGCCCCTTTTTGATACATGTACAAGTTAGGAGTTTATTATAGTTGTGTCTGTGACTAGACTTTGATAGAAGATAGAAGATAGAAGAAGATCGATTAGGTCCATTTTGAAGTCATCAATAACTTATGTGTGTACGTTACTTGATTTTCTATATAAATGAAGAGACAACTTTGGATGGCAACATCTGGAATAATCACACGTCATATTGGAATAAAAGCTCCCCGAAGTATCTGCAATGCTTTGAGTAAAAGTTGTTCAGCAAAGACAGGAGCCAATATTAGATGTATAAATAATATATTTATCTTCTGGTGCATTTCCAATATGAAATGCAGTCAGTGAGTAAATTTCTGTATATTTGTTCTATGTATAATGTCTTTAAGAATGTCTTTACAGGGAATAATTTGTATCTTTGTGTTATAATCCGATACTTCTAACTTTCAAAAATCAGTAAAAAATAAATAAAGAACAAATGAAAATGTTATTTCGACTATAAAACATCTGGCTTGATGATCTCAAAGCTAAATCTCGGCTATCAGTATCACTATTTACAAACATTATTCGATGTCCGGACGACTTCAATCAATTTAAAATGTAGGCCCTACTGGTGAAAGTGACATCAGTTTGAGTTTCCTGACCGTTATAACCTAATGTGATGAAAAGAACTCGGTTTCATGCCGAATCGGAAGTGCAAATTGAAAACCTGCTGATAATTAGACGACTGTTTAACTTCAAACTAATTAAGAAAGAGTGAAACGGTGAAATTACTAATTTTTGGTTTTCAATTTACACCTGATTTAGGAGCATACAAATAAAAAGTTCATTATTATTCGATATAAGGTTTGATTAAAATTCTTGTCACTTTTGAAGAGAGTTGTCATGTACCTGTATACACTTTACGAACTTTTCTCGGTAAATATATTTACTTCACACCTATATACATATCACTTTACATAGACTGCACAAAGTCAATCTTCAGTTTAAATGCGATTAATTCATTAACATAAAATAAATAAAACATAGAGTAAAAGTCACATTTTGGTGAAATATCCAATGGCTTGAAAACTAAGATATATTTCAACTCAAAAATCGACAAAAATAAAGCGTTAACCTATACCACAATCGGAGTAGCTACATAGGCCTACGTGCATTATCATGTATTATAGAGATGTTTTATCATCTCCTCACTAACAGATAAACCTAGTATAAGTGGTAGAGATAATAAAATATATCGGTATTGTCAATTTCCAACCGACCAATCAATGGGCTTCTACATAATCATTTTTTCGGTTAATTTTGTAAATATTGACACACACATGAAACTTAATGGTGAAAATTAGGTTTCATAAGTTATTTTAGTAAGTGTGCTCAGTTTAAGATAAACTATTATATAGAGTCAGTGTAATATAATCTATAATAAGGCCAGGTTAATGTAAACTATTATAGAGTCAATGTAATATATATTATTGTAGAGGCAGTGTAATATAATCTATTAAGTATTATAGAGTCAGTGTAATATAAACTATGATAAGGTCAGTGTAATATTTACTATAATAAGGTCAGTGTAATATAAACTATTATAGAGTCAGTGTAATTTAAACTATTTTAGAGTCAGTGTAATATAAACTATTATAGACACAATGTAATATAAACTATTTTAGAGTAAGTGTAATGTAAACTGTAATAGAATCAAGTGTAATAAAAACTATTATAGAGTCAGTGTAATATGAATTATTATAGAGTCAGTGTAATATAAACTATTATAGAGTCAGTGTAATATAAATTATTATAGAGTCAGTGTAATATAAACTATTATAGGATCGATCAGTGAAATACAAACTATAATAAAGTCAAGTGTAATATAAACTATTATAGAGTCAGTGTAATATAATCTATAATGAGGTCAGTGTAATATAAAGCATTATATAGTCAGTGTAATATAAACTATTTTAGAGTCAGTGTAATATAAACTATTATAGACACAGTGTAATATAAACTATTATAGACACAGTGTAATATAAACTATTTTAGAGTCAGTGTAATATAAACTGTTATAGAGTCAGTGTAATATAAACTATTTTAGAGTCAGTGTAATGTAAACTGTAATAGAATCAAGTGTGATAAAAACTATTTTAGAGTCAGTGTTATATAAATTATTATAGAGTCAGTGTAATATAAACTATTATAGGATCGGTGTAATACAAACTAGAATAAAGTCCAATGTAATATAAAGTATTATAGAGTCAGTGTAATATAATCTATGATAAGGTCAGTGCAATATAAACTATAAAGAGGTCAGCGTAATATAAAGTATTATAGAGTCAGTGTAATATAAACTATAATAAGGTCAGTGCAATATAAAGTATTATATAGTCAAATGTAATATAAACTATTATAGAGTTAGTGTAATATAATCTATAATAAGGTCAGAGTTATATAAACTATAATAGAGTCAAGTTTAATATAAACTATTATAGAGTCGTGTAATAAAATCTATAATAAGGTCAGTACAATATAAGCTATTATAGAGTCAAATGTAATGTTAACTATTATAGAGTCAAATGTAATGTTAACTATTATAGAGTCAGTGTAATATAAACTATTATAGACACAGTGTAATATAAACTATTATAGACACAGTGTAATATAAACTATTATAGACACAGTGTATATAAACTATTATAGACATAAAATAAACTATTATAGTGTCAGTGTAATATAAATTTTTATAGAGTCAGTGTTAATGAACTATTATAGTGTCAGTGTAATATTATAACCTATAATAGAGTCAATGTAATATAAACTATTATAGAGTCAGTGTAATATAAACTATAATAAGTCTTACATTTCTGTGAACCCATAAGTAAAACAGACACGATGAAAGTCTGTTCCCATAAGAGCACAGAATGTAACGTTCTCTATGACGTAAAGTTAATGTAATTTCGAGTTAGTATTAGATGTTTTGTTAATACGCTAATCTCAAGGTTGTATAGGATGTTCATTTGACGTTATATATTCACAGATTAACACTTTCCTTGTTTATTTACATATCAGACACAGAAAGGAAAACATGTACCAATATTGGGGTGTCCTGACCAGAATCATTCATTCGAATTCGATACGTCTGGTGGAATTTCACGTTCTAATAAAATTGAAATATATTTTAACTTTTGTCTATGAGATGGAATGAACTTGATATTTACTTCAGAAAACTCTTAAAACATTCCCTTCATGGAGTACATTATACGCTGCAAAAGTTGCAAGCCCATTGGCGAAAGTTTTATTCAAAAAGTTTGAATAAGGGGCCATTTCGGATTATTACAGTCCAGGTAATCCCCCTCTCCTATTTGTATAGGGCTTGTTGGACTACCATAAGAGAATTTTGAGAATCAGACGCCTGGATAGAAAATTCCTGACATTTCCCAACGAATTTAAGGCTCGGGATTATTTGTCTTATAACAAAGACTCCCCTTGACTCAGTAAAATGAATTAATGTATTTAAAAATTACAAGTTTGACAGAATGTAAAATTTCAAGAAATACAGAAGTTGCAGTTCGGGAACAAATATACTGATTCGAAACCTGATGGTCTATACATAGACTGTAGCCTATGACGTCAAGCTTCTATAATTTGTATTTATTTTAAAAAATCAAAATTGTGACGACACATCTCATAATGTTTTCATGAAATTATATATCGATTAAAAT